CAGAAAATTCAGCTAACTGTTCCTAAAGCTGGTTCTTCTTCTTGCTGCTCTGGACGTGGTAAGTTGTTTCATGTGATAAACCAAGACCCCGCTTACTGGTTGACAGACAGTCATTACAACGGCATTGCCGACAACTTCCGAACAATCGCATGACTCTGGGGATGGCTATACTTGGATCAGCTCATCATTTGTTCTCGCTAATGCAGCATCAAGCTTGCTTTGGGGCAAGCTTAGCGACATAAGGGGTCGGAGCTGGTACGAAATAGAGAACGCGCTCAATACTTTGGCATTCTCGGGATGTTATGGGCTTTAGCCAGCGCAATTGGCTCCATCATTGAAGGTCCTTCACGCAAAGATTATCCTGGAGATGGTGTTTTTATATCAATTGTATGTTTTACTCTGTTCTACAGAGAATTCTTTCAATCATTCCTAATTAAATTAGTGCCGCTTGATGGTGCTGCTCTTGTGGTTTTGGTCTTTTCTTCAGAATTAAACTTGAGCGAATGTCGTTTATACAAGAGCCCGAAGCTATCGACTTGACAGGCATTTTGACTATCACCGCCGAGGCACACTCATGTTCCTTTATAGCCTCCAATTCGCTGCAACCATGGTCAATGGTCCTCATCAGTAAGACCCCAAGCCCTTGATGCATGGTAGACGAAACCGCTCCTCTTGTACTCTATAACGAGATCTGATGTGCCTCCGTCAAAGAGGCGAGCTACCGTCTCGTAGCCCCCTGTGTAAAAGAAATGTATCGCGGTATACCCAGCAGCGTGATTATGCTGCTCCACGCACAGATCTTTGGGTGCACACAAATACTCAAGATGCCGAACTCTCTGAATCCTCTCATTCTTGGTCGTGATCACAAGAGGTTATAGTTGTCATTTATATGTCTATTTTTGCGTGGTTCATATTCGGCGGGGGCGGCCGGCAGCGGCAGAGCTTGGATGAGTCTCAAATTGATGGAGTTGCTGTCATCGTTGTTGATGTCCATTTTCCCTGTGCCGAACGTAAAAAGCGCCGACATCGATAAAGCTATTACGATGCTGATTCATACCGGCTCGGAATTGTGTTGAAATGGCCAGTATATAGCACAATGCTACTATAGGGGATATGCTTCTCCAAAGTGGAGCAAGGAGTAGCTGAGGACTAATCATGTCCTAGCACTCATAAACGCGCCATGGAAGTTCTTCTAAAATTGTTCGAAGAGTCAGTTCTCATCACAGAGCCACAAATCGTATATTAATCGAGACAGGCCGCTTCATCTTTTGCCATGAATCTCTCGGCTACGGCATGAGTTTAGCGATGTTTAGAAGACCAATTAATTTCAAGAATAGCTAAGTCTAGTCATGGTAAATCAACCCTTGAACAGTACCATAAGAAAGGCTATCATCTATCAGGTAAATAGCTCCAGACAGAGCCAACGCCCAAATTGAAGAGAAAATAGGCAGACCGTCACTGCTTATGTTCAGATCATTGTGTCTTCTTTGCCTTCACCTTTTTCCCTCTTCGGCGCTTCAGGGCATCCGGAGTGTATTCGGTGTCAAGGAGGTAGTCCCACCAGCGGAAGCTGCTTGAGTAGTTCCCAATGAATTTCTCATGGTGGAGGTCGTGATGATCAGCACCAGCCCAGAAAGGCAAGAAATGGTGAAGACTGCAAGGAAATTCGTAGCCACTGTGGGCATCGATAGCCTGGAACAGGCGCAACACAATCCAGATATACATAGTGAGAATATGCAGGTTACCGGTGAAAGCACACCAGAGGATCGGGCAGCTGACGGTCCCGAAGCCGAGAATCATCACTTCAATAGGAGAAGCATATTCGGCGGCCAAACCAAATGGTGCGGAATACTGGTGGTGAATTTTGTGAATAGCCTTGTAGAGTGGACCCCAATGAAGAGCTCGGTGGATAAAATAGTGCCAAGTGTCCTCCATCACGAAAAATATTGCAATCTGATATGTCATAGTCCAGGGAGACGGAAAAGGAATCGATGTTGATAGACCGCAGAACTGGGCCATTGGGTGGAAAAGCCTAGAAGAGCCGTTACTACTCAATCGGGCCCGAGAGGCAAACGTCAGGTAGAATACCACTCCGTCGAGGGCAGGAACATACCAGATTTGAGGAAGTTCGACGGTGAAGTGGCTCAGAAGCACAAACTTGGCGCAATCCCATTGCTCGCGTAATGAAGGTACTTTGCTCTGAAGCAGAATGTTAGTTTCGATGGCGGCTGGAATTGGGTTGATTTCGGCTAGTGCCAGGTGTTAGGCTTGCCACTTACACTTTGAATCTTGTATCTCTTGAAGAAACCCAAGCTATCGATGAAGATCCACGGAAGAGAGCGGCCGAAGTAGACCAACTCGTGGATGACGAAGGACATGATGCCGGTGGCCAGGACATCATTCTGCACCCACGCATACCATGCGACCCACAATCTCTCTGCCACGCTTAGGTGGGTATTGGATTTGGTGATATCCTGATATTGGCCCCAATAGGTGCCGGGGGGCAGCACGGTAGAATTCCTAGGAGAAAAAGGGTCAATATGCGACAAATTCCACGAAAGAGTATAATTCAACCACCCGGGGGGGGGGGGCGCAAAAAAGCGGGGGAGACACAGACATTGTGGTTCCTAGCAGGTCTTGAATAAGAGAGAAGAAGCAAAGGCTGAGAGAAGGAGAAGACTATTTCGTGAAGAGGGGAGTAAAAAGAGAAAGGATCTGGGCGAGAGTACTATGTGCTATGTAGTGTACAGTATATTCCCTACTATTAAATCCTATTCCTGCTAAATTGAACATACCACATGCAGGAAGGTTCCAGGCAGCCAAACACAGACGGGCAAATGCGCATTATCCGGTTTGGTAGGGCTCGGATGGCTATCGGCCCGTCTGTGGCCTGACCTTTGCGGCGCTAATGACTTTTATATTCCGGCTCCCGGTCTCACCACTTCGGGAATGGCCTGCTCTGAGTTATCGAAAGCAGTACTAGTTCTTACAGTATTTACAAAATCTGGTAGGGCCACGAACAGTTTCCGCAGGTGTCGTTCACCCGGTACCGCAACCTATAATTACGGTAATTTTCTTGATCTACCAGAGATACACCAAGCAAAGAGAGTGGAGACTTTCCTAGTGAATTAGAATTAGCGCGGCTTAGGTAGAGCGCTAGGAAAGAAGGCGTGTGTTAAAGGGGTAATCCGTTTTCGACTATATCTAGAGTAGACGTAGAGAACCCACGGTCGATTGTCTATCAGCGTGCTATAGGCTGTTGCTTCTGTCAAAATTTTCAATAAACGAGGGGTGTTATACTAATAACATTTTGGTCATAATACAGCGCTGCGACCCATAAACGGCAACTCAGCGAATAGGGGCGAACTCTAGATATAAGGCCATAAGTTTTGATCTAGTCGATTGTTAGTTCTCTTCTGCTCGACTTCATATATATAGCGCGAATATTTGTCCCATGCAGTACCTCATAATACGCTCTCTTTCCTCACATCATTATTCATAGCTTGACCCTTCCAAAACGTCTATCTTCAAACCTACATAACGAAAATGGCCCTAAGCACTTTCTTCCCTTGCGCCGACCATATTAACACACCATCCGAGGAAAACATCGAAACCTTGATCGGTATCCTTTTCGTAATAGGTCCAATTACGTTTGATGAAACTTTTGAGCTCAGCAAAAAAGTCTTCAATCGGATTTAAATCAGGTGAATAAGGCGGCAGATAGACCAACTCCACACCAGCTTCCGCGCACATTTGCGCAATTGACTCTGAGTGATGAAATAATGCATTATCCATGACCAGTACGGATTTAGGCTCCGGCCATCGTCCACAATGCTAGAGAAGCTAGGCAATAAATGCCTCAAATACGGCAGCACCTATGGAGCCACGGAAAATACGGGACAGGACAATGCCATCCTGAGCATATGCAGGCAATATTTGATATCGCTGGTCTCGGTGAAACTACGTTACTTGCAAAGGTGTCCTGCCAAGCGGTGCCTAACCCGTGCGTCTAAAACCGACTCGTTTATCACATCCGGATTCATCAACATATACAAGGTGATACGATTGAAAGTCGGATAGGTTGTGCAAGTAATAGTCACGCAAATCGGCATTCTGCTCTCTTACGCGTTGTCGAGCAGTCTTTTTGGACCAACCTTTCGCAACAAGGGCTCGTCTAATGCTGGAAACAGTGACCAATGTCTAGAACTCATCCCACAAACACAGCCATCTCGTCAAGGTAGAGCCCTGGCTTTTCTAGGAGGTGGTGGCACAAGGCTTCTGTCATCTGCGGCGTCACAGTTCGCTTCCGGCCTATTCGCGTTTAGGGGGCGTAGATACTTCCAAATTGCCACAGGTTTCTGCGGATGTTAATGAATGTTAGCTTGCTGCATTCAGCTTCTTCGGCCATTTGAGATGTAGAAAATAAATAGCTGTCTATCATGTCACGAATGAAATTGAGCTTTGAAGCAGAGAGCCTTAGAGCCATGTCAATTTTTGCGTTAAGTTTCAAATTTCCTTGAATGGTTGAGGGAGGGAGATTTGTGCCGAAGAACAAGAAGCAGGGACAGATCGCTTGTGTATACGAGTTACATGTAAAATACGAGTCTCGAGGCCACGTGAATGTAACGTAAGGAGAGGTATGAATATAGAAAGCGGTCTACTTAATGGGCTAATTTTAGCACCATCCAATCAAATTTCTTCTTTTGCGTATATATTATCCGGGAGAGGACTTGTGTGTTTGTCGAGGTATAGCTGATTTCGAAAACTACTGTAAGCATGATCACGTTTCTCTTTTCCTTGATTACCTAGGGTGCCCAGAGTATAAGGTACTGCACGTGATCTGATAACAGATAGATCGGTTGGCTCTCGGTGGCCCATCAGTAAGTTGGGGCCCCATAATCGATTGGTGCCTGGTAGGTCCGTAACACTTGCACCCAGACTAGATACCGAAGAGATTAAGCGAGCAACAACAAATTATGAATGTCAGGTATTCAATTAATTTATGAGAGGTTAGCCCTCGCACGAGACACATGCCTATTAGTTGTGTGTTACACATATCGAGCCCTAACAATATAGTCGAGCATTACTGACGGAAGCAATACCTCGACGAAATACATTTCATACTTGACTATATCATACGTACACTTGGTCGACAATCCCAAAACCGGAGGTCTGACCCATAAATCTGCTTTCGATCGTGGCAAATCCTGTCCAAGTTCCCTCCAGCATCTCCTGATCTTTCTTTACCGACTTAAAAGTCAAATAATCCCCATTTTCAAACGTCAATGTCCATCTTTGAGGGTACGTACGGTTCGATGTACCGGACACCCAGGTATCGTCCCAATCCACCTGCCATGTGTACGGCAGCACCATCATAGTCTCGTCACCAACACGTACAGTTGCGTACCTCCATTCGTCAGAGGAGTCTGCCCAGTCATACGCCCAAATGCTAACTCGTATATTCGGGTTGGGGAAGTGAGCTTCAAACCAAGTGAAGTTATTCGGGGCACCACCGAATATATTCTGATGGTCATAATATGCAAACGACTTGGCCGGGTCAAGGGCCAAAGGTTTGCTTTTGCCGAGTGTGAGCAATCCGGATGTTCGGGCGGCGGGTATGGACCAGTGAGTGGTATTAGAATGCGCACGGTCAGCTCCCCAAGCGATAACACCGTTGCCTCCATTCATCAGCATTTTGGACGTTCTACACTCTACATTCAGAGTGAAGGAATAATCCCGCGATTTAGCATAGAGTTCCAAACCGGATACCTTGTCGGGTGTGGTCGTGACAACCGAAAAGTTGGGAAATCGGAGGCTAAGGGAATCCGACGTTACGGTCTTCGTGTCGTTATTGGGCTCGCAATGATCCACATGTTTCCAGTATTCCAGTGAACCCAGATCAAGGACGGAGGACTTGCAATAGGCGGCAAATTGGTGTTGGATGAGGAGAAATTGTCTCCCTGTAGTGGTGGTAAGAAATGCACTAGTCCAATAAGACCCAGAGTTTTGGTCCTCGGAGGGGTCGATAATAGTAGGGATCCGAGTCTTCAAGTGATATTAGTGTTTATTCCTCAGATGCGCTTAGCTTTTAGAGCATGATCTGGAGTGTGACTGACATTCTTCCAAGTTGTGTGGTTATCAGGCTGAAAGATATAAACTGCAGAAACCATACCAGCCCATATGGACAGTAGATAGACTGCGGAAGTTATCATGGTGCCTGAGCTGCTCGGAGGTCGAGGACGGGTGCTGATACTGCGCTGTTCTTGTTAGAAATGCAGAATTTAATATCCAATTTTCAACAGGTTAAGCCGTATTTATAGACAATTTCCCATCGGCCAGAACAGGACCGACGGGGGCCTCTCGGCTTACATTATTCGCCGAAGTGCCGGCGACGACTTGTTGTGCCCTTGATGCCGGTTTCATCCGACATAGAACTCGCAGTCAGGACTACAGAGATGATATTATGCAACCTAGAGCAAAACGCCCCACAACCACAAAGGTACAACTGCGGAGGTTCCGGGAGCAAGCTCGCCCGCTGGAAAAGGAGTTATCGGAGTTCCGTGGACCCGAATCCCCCGACATCTAGTGGCTGACATTGACGTTAGGCGGCAACTGAAAACCCGAGGAGAATAAGCTTAAGATAGTTTATGGGCTTAATAGTTAATTTTTAAGGTCTACGTAAATCGCTTCCACTAACCACTTCCAGTTAGTCTACGGAAGTTGACTAAGCGGAAGAACAACGGTGACGCCGCGATTAGACTTGGCTGTCACCCGCGCGGGTCACCCTCACGAAAGACACCCCCCCCCTCCCCGCCCAACCCAAAAAATAACGCTATCGTTTCCCTATGGCCTCGCTATCTATACGTAATTACTATAGTCCCTATTAATACTAGCTACCTTTTCCTACTAGGTTTTTAATAGGCTACGTTCTATAGTCTTCACTATAGGTGCGGACACCCGTACTAGACGGGGGGATAATTATAACGGAATCCTTAGAAGATATATACAGATCTCTCGCACTTACAGAGGATCGACACCATATAGGTGTCGACACGTCAGCGTTAGCTTACCGTAACGCTAATCCCCTATATTAAATAGTCTGCTCCGGAGAACCTATCGGTTCTCTAAGAATCAGTCTCTATATTCCTCCAATATATTGTTCGCTTCTAGGCATCTTCATCTTACCTAGTTGACAGGCTCTATCCTGTAAACACTAGAACCTTACTCTTTACAATAGACATCATAATTCTTAGAGCTAATATCGATATAATTGCAATCGGTAAGATATAAATGATCCTTCTAAGTTAGGCGGGTCAAATTAGAGGATTGTTAAGGTGCTTTGCGTTTAATCTCGGCTAGGAAATCTATAAATCTTCTCTAGCCTGTGATATAGTTTACTTATAGTTTAGCGAGCGTAGTTAGGAGGATCTACGGTAGATAGCTTAGCATACCCGAAATCACGGAGTTTGGCTACTTCATCGGCGCATCAATGCTTCCTTTGTGTGATATTGGCCGTGGACAAGATCTAAATCCTAGGGTCGATCAGAAACATGGCTGGAATCTTTCTATGACCGGGTCTTGGCGGGTCTTCTCGTTTGAATGGCTGCAATTGGTGCTCGAGCGCATTTGGAAAGGCAAGCATGCGTACTGATCGGGTTAAAACACTACTCAGAATCTTGTTCGTCCCCAGGCTTTTTATACATCGGCGGGATTTCCTCGTATCTGCCAAAAAAGCTCGAATGTCGAGTCCCATTTCAAGTATTGACGGACGAAAGTCAGCCTGCACTTTCTCCCCGAAAACATTCGAACTAAGCTGAAACAGGTGGGGGGTTTGAACTCCTCCTGTTTCCGACTTGTATGGGCTAGGACAGCCTTCCCTAGCCCCTAGCCTCTTCACTCATTTTGCTATATACATCCAATTGTGCAAATAACATGCACATTGTCTTATTTGGAGAGGGGGGGGGGGATTTCGCTGAGTGGGGGCTGAAAAGATAGAGCTCCAGGTCTCCTCTGATCTGCAGCCCTCTTAGACAATATATGTTTCCTACCGGACCTGTGGAATTTGGAAAATCGCTTAAACCTGACTATCAATCAGCTAAGCTTAAAGAAGTCTTCTTTAGGTACTCGGAGTATAGGCAGTGCTAAGGCCAAGTAACACTTTGTGAAATACAATTACTTTGCCTTTCCTATTAGGGTTAGCTCATAGTAGGGGCGAGTGTCATTTGAACACCGCCCTTTTTCGAACGATAAACAGGTTACCTAGTACTACCATTTATCTACTAGGGTAGGCTCATTTAACGGTTCAAGCTCTGGCTAGAGGCTAGAGCAACTATCGGCGCATGTTGTTTCAAACCAGTAACATCATATTATCGCAATTCTCAGATTCTGTCTTATCACGAGTATGAATTGTTGCGACAAAGACTGGGGCAATATAGGAAGTTGCGTGACAGCTATTTCTCAGTTTAAATGAATATTTCATCTACTGGGAGCGGCAAGTTGACCAGAGGCATAGTACAAACGGGGTGTCTTGATTTTGCTAGTCCAGGGGTGACTGGTCAAGTCGACCGCCTTACACAGACGTACAAATTTAATAAGGCTGAGGGAGATGTAATAGCAGAAATTTTAATGTTAAATAAAGACTTCCTCAATTTCCAATGCCCAACTTGTCCAAACCGAGACTGTTCATCAGGTTATCGATTCCAAGACCACCGAGAAGACCACGAACAAGACCACCAAGGCCAAGTCCGCTCAGAAGATTGTTGACAAGACCGAGAACACCACTTAGAAGCAAACCGACTGCCGCAATAATTTGGAAAAGTGGTTCAGATAGCAATGTCCACAGCGGATTGAGTTTCTTCTTCGCATGGGGCATATCTGCGATTCTCTGACGGCCATTGTCAATGGTAGTCGTCACGGTCTGAGTCAGTTGTTTCAAAAGATCTGCTAGCTGATATTCTTCCGGTGTTGCCTCGTGAGAAGCACTGTGAGCTTTTGCGGATGCAGCGATGGACCCATCGGGGTCGAGTGCCCTAATGGTGCTCTTACACTCCTGCAGCATGTTTCCGGCATCTTCAATAAGAGGCTTCACGGTCTGGACTAGTTTCTCTTCATCCAACTCCTCTCGTGGCGTACGATCGGCTCTTTCAAGATGCTATATCAGGTTAGTTATATCAACATGTGAGGTATCCGCAGAAAGGCTACCTGTGTGATCTGTTTGCAGAGCGGCTCCACTGATTCAAGTGTTTGCTGTATAACGGATGATATCTTCTTCGCCAAATCTCGGTCATGTTCCTCTTTGGCCTGCTGCTCAGCTTCCTCGGGTGATAGTTCGGGCTCGGGTTCGGCGTCTGGTAGGTTCTCCTCCAGCGTGCACTCGCCAATTTGATTTCCATCGTTGTCAACGATATAGCCACTATCATTCACCGTCTTCCCTATCAAGGCTTTGGGGTTACCCATAGTAACCCTGCCTATCAAATTACCATCTTCGTCGCGGACCTCGCCATCTCGGTTGACTTTTCGGCCACTCATCGGGTTAATATCGCGTTCCTTTTCCTCGGGGGCCCATCGCTCTGCACGGCCGATGACATTGCCCACTTTGTCCACAATTTCGCCATCTTCATCAACGGCACGACCAACAAGTCTTGTCGGTTCCCCGTCGATTAGCCTGCCGACCACTTCCCTTCCTGGAGTGATCACATATCCATCCATTGTCGCAGTCAGGCCTTCGAGCCCATAAAACACCCCTTCGGGTTGCTCTCGCTCGGCGGCAGGAATAAGTTCAACATTGCCCAGGATTTTCCCATCGTCACCCCAAACCTGACCTTCTCCGTCCACTTTCTTTCCATTCAGCTTCTTGGGATTTCCTGAGACAAGCCGTCCAAAGACTGCCCCGTTTTCGTCGACGACATTTCCAAACTTGTTGACTGTCATCCCTTCAAGTTCGGACAGGTCTTCTTCTGGCTCTTCAGAGACTTCGGATGGAGTATAGGGCTCAGCGCGTCCTATCACATTGCCCACCTTATCCATGATGTCTCCATCATCATCCACAGCTTTACCTCGTAATTCTTTAGGATCTCCGTCAATGATCCTGCCAACAACAGTGCCTTCCTCAGTTTCAACAAGCCCGTCTTGTCTCACTACCAGATCACCTAGACCGCTAAAAGGCCCCAACTCCTCACGCTCCTCTTCCGCCACCAGCTCAACCCGTCCAATAACCTGGCCATCGTCGCTCCACAGCTGACCTTCGTGATCGATGGTCCTACCAGCAACTTTTTTCAAGTCCCCCTCCGTTACACGGCCTATCAACACGCCGTCTGGCCCAATAACAAAGCCTAGCTTGTTAGGCGAGAGACCTTCCAAGGAAGAGAAATCGACCTCTTCTGGCTCTGGTTCCGGCTCTTCCCAGGGCTCAGCGTGTCCAATGAGGTTGCCTCGCTTATCCAAAATATCTCCATCTTCATCGACAGCCCGACCAAGAAGCTTCTTTATCTCTCCATCAACAACCTGGCCTACTCGAGCGCCAGTTGCGTCTTCGACCCAGCCATCAGTGACCACGACAAGATCTTCGAACCCTGCGAATGGGCGCTGATCCTCCTCTTCAATTGGGATTGTTTGCGCTAAGCCCAAGATATTTCCTCTGTTGTCCCAGAATTGACCACGATCATCGAGCTGGAATTCTCCCTTAGATAACTCTTTGGGGTTGCCCTCAATAAGTTCACCAACTGGCACACCATCCTCGCCGACAATGTATCCGAACTTGTTGCATTTCAGGCCTTCTAGCGTGGAGATGTCAGGTAATTCCTGGGAGGTTTCCGGTGATTTGTTGGCTTCTTGCTCTTTGAAAGCCGCCTTTTTGTCTTCGAGTTCTTGCATCGCAGTATTTGCAGCCTGGCCTGGCACTGGTTCAACTTGTCCAATCACCTCTCCGGTGATGTCCATCACTTGACCCAGTTCGTTTGGGACCTTTCCTGACAGATGCCTAGGATCTTGACCTTCGACAACTTGGCCTAAATCCTCGCCCTTATCATTCAAAATCTTGCCGTTGCTGTTGATTTCTCTGCCCCGAAGGATGGCAACGTCTGGAAGCAACACCCCACCAGTGGGCTCGGCTTCACCGGCCGACTCTTCAACTTGCTTTGAGGAGATAGGCTCGACTCGCCCGATCAAGTCTCCATCTTCATCGAAAACTTCGCCATTCTCATCAACAGTTCGGCCCACCAAATCATCCGGGTCACCTTCAACTAGTCGCCCCAATACTCGACCGTCGTCGTCTTTGACTGCGCCGTCCTCTGCGACTGGCAGGTTTGCGAGGTCCTGCAAGCTGGGGACATTATCTGTGTCAACCGTTTCTTCGACTGCACCGGCCTGCTTTGCAGTCTCGTCGCTGACAAGCTCAACTCGGCCAATCAGATCGCCATCCTCATCTAAAATCTCACCACCTTCCCCAACCACCTGGCCAGCAAGGTCGCTGGGGTCGCCCTCGACGAGTGTTCCGACTGCATTGCCATCATTGTCAAAGATCTTTCCCTCTTCGCTAACCTCAAGCCCCTTCAACTCAGACAAATCTGTGGGGAGACTGGGAATTTTCTCCGTGAGTTTGCTGGCAACACCCCCTTCGTCAGGCTTGAACTTTTTGGCGACACCTCGAATGTTATCTTGAATGTCGTCCAAAGCGCCCTGTGATTCCGCAGCGGTAGCCCGATTGCTGAGATCTCTGACGGTGCCCGTTAGATCCGAAATACGCGAGGCTGCATTCTTCCCTCGCTGCAAAAATGAGACCCCACCCGACCCAGAGGCGGAATCACTTTTTTCGTTTCAGATTCTCTCTGCTCTTTAGAGGGAATTTCTGCCACCTGTTGCGCATCTTCTGGGGTTTCAACCGCCTCTTCATGCTCTTCGATGGACTCTCTTATTGGTAGTGGCTCCTCATATTCCAAGTTGACTGCACTCCCTTCATCTGGTGTTCCAGTTTTGTCGACATTCGGAGTCTTGATTTGCGATACCTTTTTCTCTTGGGAGACTGGAGGCAATTCTCTGGTTCCCGCTCCTTTTGGCAACTTTCGAATATTCTTCTTGGGTGCGGTTGGTGTCGAGGGCTTATTGATGGGTTTCGCCTGGTCTACAGGTTTGATCTCTGATGCTGCCTGACCAGTTAAAGGGCTTTGGGAAATTGAGTCTCCCATGGGCTTCTTAGGCGGTACTAAAGGCTTTTTCGCTGATGGAACTCGCTTTGTCGCCGGTGATGCCATTTCGTTCTTGCGCTTTTGCAGCTTTCGGCAACCACTTTTTTTGGAACTAATATCTCGTTTTGCAGGTATAGATTGAAGACTAGTAGGTTTTCATTAAATGTAAATTATTACAGCACAGGAGATGTTCGAGCACAGGAGATATTCGAGCATGCAATTTATATGCTTCATGATATCATCACTGTGATACCCTTCGGGACCAGGAACCGGCCGACTCGCCACATCTGGGGCTACAGATAAAATGGCCACTGACTACCAGTTGTAACCGAACTACTAAGTTTACCATGGAATAATGACCCTCAAGCGAGACTATGTTGATATATGGGGTTCGCAAGAGGGCCTCAATGACACAGATATACCGTGGTACCACAAAGCCTCCTGGTCATATAGAAGGATCCTACCTCGTCATTCCATGCCATGAGCTTTATTGGACTATATCTATCCGTCCAGTCTAGCATGTTGCCACACCAAATGTGCCTTGGGACACTTGTGGCACTGAGAACTAGTAGCTCCTAGACTTTCCTGTTCAATTAAGTCAAATTGACACCTAGGTCTTGAAACAAGGCAATGCGAAATACCACACCCCCAACGCCAGTAAGCATTGGTCAATTTACTAGTTAATTAGGCCCTGCATTATATGAGCTTCATGCTTCCCAAAGTATGGTAATGATAATGAGGGACTAACAGAAGACTTAACGTCAGATCTCCATGAATCTTAGCTTTTAACTCGACCTCAACGTCAAGGTTTAGATCAAGTCTCAAGCTCAACGCAGTTCCAGCACTTTTTACTAGCGCTTGCCCCGGTCCGTTCTGCTCAGATATCGGTTGTATTGGAGCTATTCCTCTGTTTGCCGGTAATGCTGGGCTCAACGCAGTTCCATCACTTTTTACTATCACTTTTCCCGGTCCGTTCTGCTCAGATATCGGTTGTATTGGAGCTATTCCTCTGTTTGCCGGTAACGCTGCACTCATTTTTCTTCGAATCACTTCTGTTGTGGGTGCATGTCTATCATCTTGGGCTGAGACTTCTCTTTCGATAGACTCGGTTTCAGATGTCGTTATAGAATCGTAATTTGATCCTTCCAGTTGACTGGCCTCGCTTGTGTGCTTGTCTCGGAAAGAACCTTCCTGGTCGGTGTAGAAATCAGATTCATCCTCTTCGCTCGAATGAACTGCGTCTTTTGGAAGTGTTGGCTTTTTCTGTGTGGTGAAGGTATCCATATTCAGTGATCTGGATAAATGAGAAACGAATCTCGCAGGCATATAATCAGGTAAATGAAAATTAATCACATAATCAAGTCACAGCTCGCATCCACGGTTCCCATAGTTCATGACGTTGCAGATCCTCGGGTATGATCAATTTCATTGGTTCTCAACCGGAAGCTCCGAGCATTGTACGTTGAATCGGACTTTTTATTAGCTCGAAACAAGTTTTAACATCGCTTCTATGTCTGTGGCTGACTTAATGGAGGGAGCTCTTCATCATCTGCGAGAATCCAGACTCGGCAAGATTCTTGTTGTTCTTTTATGTCCTGATCAAGCCTATCCTGACGTCAGCGGGGCGGACTGAATGCAATTGCAACATGGGCAAGGAAATTCTATTTCATAGCAATTCACACTTTCATATCTCTATCTAATACAACGCTTGACTGTATTTTGTTATCATAATGCAAGCGCAGTCTAATCATGATATTCAAAACGCGAATGGTAGCGCAAGTGCTCCCGCGCCGAACAGGAAGCCCCCAAAACTCCGACCTCCGAAGCTGCGAAAGGGTTCAACTTCAGATCCAGGAACAAACGGCTCTAATGAGCAAAGAGTGAATGGTGTCTCAGGCTCTATCAAGTCAAATTCCCCTTCCGCAAACTTGGGTAGCAATTCCACAGATCCGAGACAGAATGACCGACGAACACCTTCACCTCAGGCTGCACCGCAGGTTGAAAAACAGAACCATCGTACTCGACACCACCGGAGAGCCCGTCGAATTTCGGCAGAGTCACAAGATCCGTATCAAGGAAGTTCCGAACAACGGACGGTACAGGAAAGGCGCGTGAGCCACATGCTTAACCCTCCGGAAACCCAGGGCCAGATAGAGCGGGCCAGTGAACTTGTTCCAAAAGCAGCGACTGGACCTGTCGAGCAAGTGACAGAGTCTACGGAAGTAAAGCCTCAGTCGGCAAAAAACGATCAATTAAAGTTGAGGTTGGACTTGAATCTGGATGTGGAAGTTGAATTGAAAGCAAAGATTAGAGGGGACCTAACGCTGCAACTACTGTATGTGACAATTTCCTTCTGTCGACTGGCTTTAGTTCCTGGATTACTAACTTGTGTGGCAGACAATAATAAACCTTTTGTCTCCCCAAATTCGCTGTTCTTCGGGGACATCCAGGTTTCCCAGGTTTATATGAATGACTAGAACGTTAATTTGTGCTCCAATTGTACTAGAACGGAAAGGTGAATCAAAGAACTGGCAGAGGTATTCTGGTGTGAGAGTATATGGCCGTGGTTGGCTTGCGGTATCATTGCCATTCTCAGGCACATAGGAAAGGGAGAGCTGTCAGTAAATCCGGACCTATGAGCCGTTCGCTGCCGTCTGCATCGCCATGATTTTATACTATTTCAATGTCGAGTATGTTCGAAAATGTCAAATTATCTCAAGTTTGGCTTATATACATGATCGCTCTGCTAGTTTATTCCTGTCTAAGCCCTCAAACTTTTCATTGACAGCCAATGGATGACTCCGAAATTACTCCTAACCGCTCTTGACATTAGTCTTTTTCCGTTAAAAAGCGAAAGCCTATATAACCTGCATTAATACTCATTCTAGTATATATGGCCATAGGGTATGTACCTGTCAGGTTTGCTTCAATTGTCCTTAAAAAGCGACAGTTAGCTAGTTAGTCGCCGACCCCAAATGCTCGGCATGGGTGGGGGCGCTTACATCGTATTATCGACCAGTAAAACGGACTTCGGTCCAAATCCACAGTAGCTATATAAAGAAAGAGATCCTAGCATTTTCTAGAGGCTAGGCTCTTTCAGTCTATCACCGTCATTTATATGGACTTATACAGGATGGTTCGAAATCATTTTCACCACCTTACTCTCATAGATTATGTCCCAAACTTTGTTTCAAAACACGCTGATCCGTCGATAAAAAGTTTTTAAGTATCGAAATGCATTTTCCATCAATACCACCTGCTCGCCAATCCTGTAAATCATTCGAAGAGCTAATACGATTTCAAGCAAGCTTCGTCAATTTGGAAGGGTTAGGAAGTTCCCAACTTTTTATGGACCTGCAACGAAGCGTCAAAAACCCCCGCTGTTGGAAAGAATATGTAATTACTACTTCAAAGGCCCCTGGCTATACCTCATTAACGTGGTCTTTTATTTTATGATACAAGTTGATGCCTTGCGCAAATCAGCTCTCCCTTATTTGACCCGTAATTTTGATCCATGCAGATAAATAAGATATAGGTAAGGTTGTAATTATTGCAAAATTAATAAACTATCAAGTCCGTTTTACCACCTCTTCGCCTTATCTTCCTCCTCGAATTTCATCGCTTTCAGCATCGCCGTCGTCACCATATTTAGCGCCCATCGAGGCATCATCTCAAACGCCAACCCCTGCACCCAGTGCCAGAAATACCCGTATACAATAGTCTGCCCACAGCCAACACGATTCAACCCAGCCTGCGCCATCACCCGTGGCGTCGGCACAAACCAGCCCAGAGCAACCGGGAACCCGGGTGTGCTCACCTGGCCCACGCGTAGACCCAGCACCTCGACCCCCGTCCCTCGGCGTTACACTCGGCCTGCAGTGCGTACGTAAAGGTATCGACGAACCCCTTCGTTGCAGCATAAATAGTCACATAGGGTAGCCCCCACGCCGCGACGGACGAAATATTCAATACAACGCCTGGGTCTCCCGCCGCTAGAAGCGGTAGCAATATGCGCGTAATTTGCGCGACGAAGTTCGCGTTCTTCGCGATCGTCTCCTGCACATCCTTGAAGCTATAACTGTCTAGCATCCCAGAGGGCCTGCCGTCACCTCCTACATTGTTCACCAGGACGGTTAACTGGCCCCCATAGGCGGCTAGAATAGCGGAAACCTCGTCAGCAACCCCGTCCACGGAGGATGTGAGATCGACAACGTCTAGTACGATAATGCCTGTCTTGCAGGTTGGGAAGCGCTCGTTTAGCTCGCTAGCGCGTCGCTGGAGCTTAGTGCGGTTACGCCCGTGCAGGATGACGTTGAAGCCGCGGGCACAGATCTCTTCGCAGAAGCCGAAACCGATTCCATCAGTTGCGCCTGTTACGAGGGCCCAGTTGGTGCCGGGCCGGTTGTAGCGGGCTGTTAGTGTGCTGCGAAGGAGGAATATTGTCGCTTGGCGGGTGAAGTGGAGGGTTATGTAAGCCAGGGCTGCAAGGCCGATGTAGCTGAGTGGAGTGCTCCAGCCTGAGATACACATATTGTAGTTTTAATGTTTTGGTTAAGTTGTGGGGTATAGTTGTGGTTGTGATATGGATGTGGGCAAGGAAAATGCGGAGAAAAAGAGGGGCCAATCCTGTCGAGCTGGATTGCTGATAGATGGGTCTCTATGTTGGAATGGATAGGCAAAGTAGAAGCCTAGTATAATGCGTGTGAAACAATATGATAGTATTGTAGAAGACCTAACGCTGATCGTTCCCTGGACCAGCGGGAACTCTCTATATAGGACTGCCCCTGCTAGGTGATCGGCATAATATGAAGTCATATCTGACGTGTCCCCAACTGCCCTAACCCATCTGGTGCAGTTGCCCAAGTCCAATGTCGGGCAGTGGTCCTGACAAGCAGGGCCTATGGGGCTTTGTATTCAGATCGAAAATGTATAGTTGGGAGACTAGTCAGAGCTACAAATTGGCTGGGGCACCTAGGTAGACCAGTAGACCAGTAGTCTGGACTAGAGAGTCAGAGAGTCCGTACGGGAAGGAAGTGGTGTGATTGTCTAGCCGTGAGTGGCTGTCAAGTACGATATATGCGACCAACGACAAGAACAACTCAAAAAAGGTGTAGTCTCCTACCAGGGTTAATACTGGGTTCTAAACACCATCTTGGCCTTCTATTGTCTATGAAACGAGCGTGGACAAAGGCTGTGTGCGTGTGAAAGGAGGATAAGTTGGCGGCGATCTTTCCTTATCGCTGGAGCTTCCCCTACGTTTGAGTTGCTTTGCATGGAATATACTACGAGGTTCCATAAAGACTTATTGTATTATGACAATGACGCATTCCTTAGACGATACAATCGAGCAGGGGCTTTTGTAAGAATAACTAGGTTTAGACTAGCGTGATTCAAGCTAGGGTTCTGGAAGTAATTCATGAGTGTATAGGGAGGAATCTGTTTTCGAATATGACACTAACTATAATCTAAATAAGGCCAAACGTTGTTCTATCTAGGATTCTAGATAAGATATTTGTATACTAAGGTGAAGCTAATCTCGAATATTAGTGTACTACCTTTTTGTTAAAGATCTTAATAATAATAGTCCTTTTGCACTTCTCATTGCGTTTACATGATGTGCCACTGTATGGCTGTTTCTAGCTTTCCCTAAGTGCTACAAGGGTCGGAGTATGGTGAGTGCAGAAGCATTGCTCTCTTTGCCTTGTTACAAGATCAGATCTGTTAAAGTTCCTGCTGTTGGTGAGCAAACCGCCATTTGGATATCAATATGGACGAGGAGAAAGCAACAAGCAGTGAACTCAAGAGTATGTCGAGTCGGAGAGTTTGAGAAAGATCTGATGTATTTAGTTTCATAGTCTCAACGCGTAATATAGCAGACCATGATCCAGACTTAACATCGATTGCCAATATGACACCCCCCAATATCATCGAGAACATGGGACTGGATTATGAAACATTGAAAGTATGCTAATAGTTCCGGTCTTTCAACTTGTCATTTCCTAGAAACAGCACTCGAACGAGAGTCATGTGAAAGAATGGAGAACCGGTCTATTTTATCGAACAAAAGTCCACAATCAGGTCATGACCCATGACACATGCCTCCCTCTTTACTGCAGAGCCTTTTTATGGCCACCTATTTCAATCGCAAATTTGTGCGGCCGAAATTCTAGATCAAGGCTTCCGTTGGTTCCAATTGACGGCCATTGTATGTCGCGTTGTGCTGATATCACGCAAGAATCTGACCTGCAATTTCTGTGCTTCCCAGCATTGAATTAGCTCTTCATATCATGACGATGAGATATCGCGACGAAGCGAGGAAGTGAAAGCATGCTCAACATCAGTCTTGCGGAACCCCGGTACTCGACCTAGAATGACAGTACTGTGTAGTAGTTCTGTCGCTTTGTAAGTATATCTTGGCAACCCATCACAACGTCTTCGAACTTACTGCGACAGAATAAGTCAATATCAAGGATGCGATCTGCTTTCCTATCTGGTACCTTAGGAAGTGCACAGTATTGTTTCAAGGATACTCCGCGCTCGCTAAGATATCCTTCGACATCTCGACAGTCGAACCATTGACCCCCAAGCCCAAATGTCTCGAGCACTTTTAGTTGGTTAAAGCCTGTATCCCCATCCAAGGATCTCTCAGCTATCGCCATGCTTCCAAGAATACGCTTTGGCATCCGGCGATTCGGAGGGTAAATTGCATTTCCAAATTCGTCTTTGGGCGGGTAGTGTGTCCCAGCGCCTCCGATACAATAGAATGGGAGGCCCGGTAGCTCGAGTTTATCTTCGATTCCCCCTGTCACCAATCTTTTGAAGTATGGATATGTCTTCTCCCTGTCTCGTATGCAGGATACCAATCTAAATATCCGATAATTGGCAGTTGGAGACGAGCGGGGGTCGATGAACAAGCGAAATGCGTGCTCTAAACAATAACGGTGCAAGCCGCGAGTAAAACTCGTCTCTTGAAAGTAGTAAGACAGATGCTCGCTGTCTGAAAGTGGGCGTTCTACCCAACTTCGGCTCTGGATCGCTGAATGATCGTCATCCAGATTAAAACTGGAAGATGTCGAAAAGGAAACACCTTCTCCAAGCCGATTTGTAGAGTCCGGTTGTAGTAGTAATCTCCGAGAAGCCACATATTCAAAAATATCAGGTGGTGGGCTGTGATTTGCCTTTTCAGATGCAGCTGGGCTCTTTTCTGGACTTTCTGACTGCGGTTGAAAGATTGCTGCACGCAGCTTATTAAGTCGTTGATAGATTGCTGGATGACTGACAGAAGCGTCATTCTCGAGGTTGGCAAATGCATCTCGGATCTTCCCAATCTGATCTTCTAGCTCAGATACTCGCACGGTTGCATTCTGAAAAATCGCCTTCTGCTTCAACCTGTGTACTTTTTGAGCCTGTCGGAGTTGGTCTCTCCGCTCCTACTGACTGTTAGCTATAGCCCGTCCAAAAATATTACATTAACATAAACAATTCTGACCTGGGATAAAACAGAAGCACCTGGTGCATCTAGCCGCGGTCTACCTGGGCGTTTAGAACGGCGTGGTGGATTTTTCCGTCTATCCACTGAAGCGCCTTCCTCCGGACTAGCCACCGAGTTCTCGTCAAGCATTTCGGTGTCGTGGGTTAAATTCTTTGTATGTTTCTTCATGGCAAGGATGCAAGGTGGTGCGTTTGAGAGCAAAAGTGTATCAATGGATTGGGCTGGAGAACTAGAATGGAGCGAAAAGTCGCATGGAAACGTCTTTCTCACGATTACATGGTTCTACTCTTCCCACAAGAGAATCAGAGCCGTATAGTTGAATGCTATGGGTAGTGTGCTGATATTTTCGTGATATTCTAATCACTCGACGGCCTCGGCTCTCATAGCGTTGGGGTCAACCGTGTGGGTCACACCAAATCTTGAATAGCAAAGTAATCGAACTTTGATTGGGTTCCCTAACAGTGGCAAACTTCTTCAGATCGTTCAGTTCTTTTTCGACTTCCGAGGAAATAATTTTGTTCGAGATTGATAGTAGTGGTAAAATATAGCCTGGGCACGCATCCTCCTACTGGGCCAAAAGACCACTATATCTGGCCCCTTATTCAGATATGCCTAGGACTGATATATATACTAAAATTTTCGTAAAACGCGTCATAATGCAACGGGCGCATTTATCGACGGCATAAAACTAGAGGGAAAGCAGGAGAAGGTGATTTTCAATTACTATGGAAAGCCTGCTACATTCACGAAAGAGGCACTGAATGAGAAATAAATACAGAAAAACTAGTTGAAACTTTCAGATAAAAAAACAAAATACAGATGGCCGAAGACCTGAGGTAAGTTACAGGGAAACAAGCATGGCCTGAAACGCAAGGCCTAGCCCAGCCAGGCATGCCTAGGCGGATACCTAATTAGGCCAGCAAGATGAGATATATCGAAGAAACGGCTCTCTGTTATCTCCATAACAGATCGGTGTATCTTCCAAGCGCCGTATGAATCTCGCCCTCGAAGCAGTTGTTGACGCCGTCCCACCCCATTTTCAACTGAGCAACTTCCAAATCCCTTTTGCGTCGTGCCTCAATTTCTCGCTTGATTAAATGAGAAGCTTTTGTTTGGTCAGGTGCAATGGGGTTAGATCCCATCACGGCATCTGTAGATGGAAGCAGGCCACATTCCTTTAGCATATTTTCTGGGGGGAACGTCTTCCTCCCTTGCTTGAACACGTATCGCGACACCGCAGACGCGAATACGCTTCGGCGCTTCTTCTCTTGCGTCACCGCGTCTCCATGCTCCCTCGAACGAGATGGTGTCTCGACACTATTTTTTTGGAGACAGAATTGTTTTGGTCGATAGGCGCCTCGGACGACAAAATGCGTCACGATATAGATCCATTTCTCATCCCAACTCAGAACACGCGACCAAACTTCAAATGGTTGATATGGTTTGATCTCTCTGTGGAAAACACACTGTACACCACTTAAGATCATGACTGCAGTATTGTGTGTCGGACGGAACGACAGGCGCTGGCTGAATAGGAGAAGACTAAGATTGCCCCGCGAGATATCCATGTCGGTGAAGTATGTCGAATTGGATTTGTGGATATTGTAATCGCACTCGCTCACGGGCGATCTTGTACGGTGAATGGCGGGGAGGAAGAGACATTCTGGGCTCAGCTGGTCGATAGTGATACGGGTGATGAAGAGTCGAGTCAAAAGCGTCCGGATAAATCGAAACTGTGCATAATTTGTTAATGACGTTACTTCCTATGGGTTCGGTTATAGCAAAATACTCACATGCCATACCCACGGCAGATTCTTGTATGCAAGTAATAAAAATCACCAGGACTGCGATAACCGTTGGTGTATCAAGCACGAAGTTGGCCATTTTATTTTCCGAGATACCAGTGAATGGAGATGACTAGAGACGGGAACACAAAAAATCCAGGAAATAGATCCTAGCTTTTGTAATAAGAATTATAATCCCAGGTTCACTTTGTTGAGAGTATCCCCAACGTACGGGACTTGATGTCGTTGATTAGAATATCTCGGCATTCCGATTTATGCCCTACAAGGGCGCTTCTGGGTATAAATAGTATTCAATTCGCGAGCAACCAGCCTTATACTTATGATTACTTATACTTCTGTCTTCATTGTGATGTCCGGTCTCACAGCCATCATGGTTAAGACGATCCCGATTTTTTACGCCTCTCAACTCGCATATCTAGCCGTGGGTTTTTCTGTAATCTATATTCTGGCAGTGAGAAAATATCGATACCAACGAGCCCGTTCCATTGAAATAAAATATTACCGAAATGGACGTCCATTATCGGAGATGACTGTCAAAGAAGCCCATGAGGTGGTGCGCAATCTACGGGAATTGGAATTTCCATTCTCAATGCATCTCTCTATGAAACTATCTTTGCTGAAGGTCTTGCTTTCTAAATGCCTCCGCATCCAGTCCATTTGCTAATTAATATCTTATATCAGACAGGTTCAATTCCTACGATGGCCAAGTTGTTTGTCGCAACCAGACAACTAAACGACAAAAATGCGTCAAAACGTGCAGCAGACACAGAAATCATTCTGAACGAGGTTCACGACAGAGAACCAGGGTCCGATTCTCATCTACTTGGAATTTCCCGTATGAACTATCTGCACGCCCGATTCCGGAAAGCCGGCAAGATTCTGGATGATGATATGCTACATACTCTGGGCTCCGCTGTGCTCGATATTTTCCAAACCATTGGCTCAATCGAATGGCGAGATCTCTCAGACGTCGAAAAGTGCGCGATTGGTGTTTTCCATAAAGCTCTTGGTGACGCCATGGAAATTCCGTTTACCAATCTCCCGTCACAGAAGGACGGTTGGAGAGATGGGATCCATTTTGCTGAGGAGATTATGAGCTGGACATTGCAATACGAAAGGCGAGTTGCTGAGCCGACCAACTCTACCCACGAGATCGGACGGCAGCTCATGAATCTGGCCACATTCCATCTTCCGTCTGTGTTGAAACCATTTGGGGAGCGAATGATTGCTTCTAGGGTTGAGAGTTATATGCAGGAGAGTATGGGGTATGTGTCAACAATCGTTGGAAGCGACTTCAGAGTAGACTCTGACGGTAGTGACAGATTTCGGAAGCCAACAACCGTTCATTACACTCTGATGGGAGGAATTTTCAACTTCCGAAAATTTGTTTTACGATATCTAAGTTTCCCCCGCCCAGAGAGCAAGAAAGTACAAATGCTTAGTAGCTCTCCAGACCCGGTCACCGGTCTGTACACAGCCAACTTCTGGATTGCCCATCCTTGGTATGTGAAGCCAACCTTTTCTAATCGGTGGAGCTTCAAAGCGATTTTGGCGTGGATAACCGGCGGGCCTTCTCTAACGGACGGGGGCCCATGGCGAGCGGACGGGTATGACCTGAGAACTATTGGTCCGACTGCCCAGGAAAGACGCGGAGCGGATGAAATGGAAGACATATTTGCAGACTTGAAGAAGCAAGGATATGCTGGTGGATGCCCGTTTCATTCCTAAATGCCAGGTCTTATATCTCTGTCCTTCCACATACTACATTTGTCAACAAAGGAGATTTGTGGAAAGCACAGTCTCCAAAATACAAGAGATCCCATCAAGCTTAGGATAGCTCCGTGTGTTGTTATTTGTGCAGGAACACCTGCCTTGAGCCCAATGACTTTATAGAAAACCTATAAGCTCAACTGATTTTCAACTATTGAGTGACGAGAGACATATTCAAAAGGATTGATGTCAAGTTGTGATCATGTCGAATAGTTCAATGTATCTCAAATCCCTACCCTCTTGGTTCGTTCAACCAGCCGCAAAATGTGCCTGGATCTCCACTTCTGCCTTTGCTACACTCCAAGGACACTTCAATCGAACAATCTTTAATGCACCTTGGGCAGGCCAAGTGAGCGATTCCTCGTTAGCGCAAACGTAAGTACGGTAGTGCCGTCGCTAAATCCTTGAATAGCTATGAAGCAATAGGAATAATTCCGCTCACTTCCCCCGGTTGCAAAACGTCAACACAACCGACGTCGTGGTCTATGATTCCAAATTCTTCTGTATAATAGGCGCTGAAGCCACGATAGAGAGCGTCCAGAAGCTCGCTTACCAATCCTACGAGGCGCCCTGTTACATCCAAAATAACAGATAGCTGTTCGTTGTTGAATGGGGACCACCCGATGGCGTTGATGGTATTCACAAATGACAATATCTGCTGGATATGGATACCAATAGCCTCAAAAATATCGTAACTGACCCGCCAACCTTCAACGCCCACGGCTGTATGTCATACCAGGGTTATCTTTATATTGCGCCGATGGAGCTGGAAGCAGCGAGAGCGCCAGTCTGGTGTAAATTGAACTGCTGTCTTGAAGAAAAAGGTTCTTCTAAATAACTTCTTCGGGCAGCCGTTTGCTAGGTTTAATGATCTAGAGATGAATCGAGAATTGAACTTCTACCTGACAGACACTAAATCAGGATGAGTATGTGATGAAGTATTAAATTGTACTCGGATTTTTCTTATTTAACCGCAAAGAAGAAATTTATACTGACTTGCTATCTTCTCATAGGCCCGTGAAATCGTCAACTTCGCCCCTCCAACCAACTCGTCGATCTACTTCGTCAACAACACGACAATGCAGTCGAAAGTCACCTGGATAACAGATGGTAATACAAATGGAGTAGCTATCTCTCCAGATGGAAAATCGCTGTACATTCCGGATGCAGGTATCTCCAAGTTCCGACCTTCGAACAAGAACCCCTACGGCAAACGAATGTTTTGGGCATTCGACATGTCCGGATCAGGAACATTACTCACCAACCAGCACATGTTGGGGATTCTATTGACGTATTACTATGATGGGATCCGCGCATCAAGGGTAGGCTGGCTATTTGCAAGTTCCGGTGATGGAGTGGATGTGATTGATCCGGAGACTGGGTTTGTGCTGGGGAGTGTTCGGGTTGGAAGGGGATCAAAAGTGGCAGTGAGTCTGGCATTTAGGGAGCATGAGATGTGGATTGTTGGTAACGGCGGAGTTCGGCATGTGAAGAATATCAAGGCTCGGTTGAAGCGGGATTGGTAGGTCAATGCTACTCTTTGATGCCACTCATTGCGACGATAGAGTAACTAAACAAATCAATTAATAGGGGTCTACTAAAATTGACTCCCGGTAACCTTCGGCCATAAGTACATTTGGTCCAAAGTAACATAAGCATAATTCAGACTCCCATCGTGGCAGAAGAAAGAGCTTGTGACGCGTATGTCTCATAACAGAAGACGCCCAAAGCCACTCCAGCAAAAAAATCCGTGAAAATCGTCAAAAACCAGAACCATGGAATTTGAGGAACTCCACCAAAAAAGTGAGCCGGTGTGCGGATGCCCAGGGTTGCGTAGCTGCCAAGATACAGAAGCGATTTTCGATATTTACCAGACGTGTACAGTCTGTATCCGTGAAATCCGCAAAACGTGTGAAATGGATAGGAAATGAGTATTCCAATGCGATATGCTTTGGGGCTTTCGTAGATGAAAGGAACAGGGGGATAGTCTGCGGCTCGAGTGTAATTGTGCGCGTAGTGGATGGTGGTTGTAAGCATCAAACAGAAAAGGAGCACTCGCAGGCGAGGCAGTTCTGCAGAAGATGGAGGTGTAAGGGTATCCCGAGACATGGTTATCGGGTCCTTATTTTGGGTTGTAGGTCCAAGTTGTTTGTGAGGGATTAACATCTGTTTCAAGCGAGACGAAGGATAAGCGTACTGAGGATGCAAAAGCCAACAAAGCTTGCGATCGGGTGACAGAGAATATGAAATTTCGTTCAAACCAATAAATAATATTTCAAAATTCACTCCAAGTAATATGCTCTTCTATCTCACAATTGGGAGAAACCAAGGTATTAGAATATCTTTTGTCTCCCGAGGGTGACGGCTGGTTATTCTAATCAAGAAGGGCCTCGGTGAATTTGATCATTCAGTGACCAGCTGCCTTTGCAACATGTGGGCTGTACTGAAGATGGGCCTAGTTTTTCTTATTGCAGCGTCGGCACAATCATAGAAATATAATCAGCAATGAGCAGGGATTGAACTTGCCGAAACTCTACCAGTTTGGTCATTTTAGCGAACCTAGCGCTCATTAAGTAATTAACGTCTATCTTGGCTAGTTTCCAATAACTCTGTAGATTATTTCATGATTACAATAGCAAGGGGTGAGAATATGAAGCCTTCCAAGGTTCATTGCTACCTCGGCATATTCATGATTCTTGATTCTTCCCCATTTAAATACCATAAATGCTCCAAAATGTTGATTGAATCATATTTGTTTTATATGCATGGTATCCCAGTTTATTGTTGTTTCACGCCCCCAAATATATAATTGACAGCCAATGGACGACTCCGACATTACCCTCAACCGCCAAATTGGCGTTGATGCTATACGTCCTGGCTGCTATCGCTCTGTTGTCAACCCGACACGAATGGGCAAGCTCTCATCGACTGCATTCGGAGGGAACTTGTTGGCAATTGCGGTGAATTCGGCATACCAGACTGTTTCACATTTTCACCACTTATATTCCATTTGCGGGCATTTCCTCCGTCCCGCCACAACAGACCGCAAGTTGATTTGCGAGGTGCAAAATGTACGGGATACCAGGAGCTTCCAGACGCGAGTCATAAGAGTCAACCAGGAAGCAGATGATGGTTCGATGAGAGTGTGCCTCGTCGCATCGGCCGATTTCCATGTAGAGGAGCCCACATCTATGGTCACATACAGCGTTCTCCCGCAATTTAGCGCATCCGCAACTCCGGCATCGGTCAATACGAAGCATCCTGCGCACCATGGATATGGCCTTTACAAGTATATCGAGAAATTCACGGATGTTCAACCAATCTTCCTTCAAGAAGGTGAAAGAGAACGAATTCCAGAGACCGCTCCGTCAGTGATATCCAGCGAAAGATTTCGAGTGCGAGGTCCGCTGGAAAGTCAGGCTGAAGAGCTGTCCGCTCTTGCTTTCTACATGGATCGCGGTCTTGCGTACATACCTGCGGATCATAGTGGGTACGAGTTGCTAGACGCAAGTGCTTGTGCCACTTTGGATTTTGCACTACGGATATTCAGGCCACAAATCACCCTAAAGAATTGGCATGTCTCAGAACAGCGAACTGCTGTTGCAAACAATGCCAGGGCTTTTAGTGAAGGGCAAGTGTGGGATGACGATGGTATTCTCATAGCCAGCATGACCCAGCAAACTATGCTGCGTCCTAAATCTGGATTTATACCGCGGATCTAATTGATAATTCTATTCGCAAATACACGCCTCATCCTTTTGGTCCGATTAGGCATCCGCCTAGCTTAGCCTAGTTGAGCATACGCCTTTTGTTTCAAACCATGCTTGTTTTTATGTGTCTTGGGCGTTCCTCCCTGTTTACCCGCTAGTCTGTGGTTCCCCATGTCTCTCTCCTTCGGTCCCTCTTTAGCATACGTCTGGTTCCCTCGATAGTCATCAAAGGGCTCCCGCAAATCTCTGTAAAGGCCTGGCACCTCCGGGTACTGCCTCTAAGGTCCGATCGCTGTTTTCGTAGCACACTTGGTCCTTTTGGTTACTTATACAAGACCTATATAACTATCTTTGACAACAATTTTAGTACATACGACCACAGGGTGTGGAGAACAGGGCTTCCCGTCCGCTCAGCCGTACTTAAGCCACACGCCGGTAAGTTAGTAGTTAGGTGGGTGACCACTAGCGAATCCTTACTGTTGTATGTTTTTGCCTCATGGTAACTTTTTTAATATTCCTTTTTTTCTTAAAAATTGTAGAAGGGAGATTGTAGGAGGATATTATTGGTTCCGGAAGTTCTCCGGTAAGTAAAAAGAAAATACCACGGTCTTACAGTAGTCCCGGACCACGGAGAATGACTCAGGGGTGCTCTAATTCGACATGTACTGCCAGTCGCATTGCTGAGCCTCATTTTCGGAGAGTTTGCTTCAGGATAAGCTGGTAAACTCAGCCTGATCCTGTCGCTTCCTTCTAGGCCGTATCTCAAACTTTGCATACATGTGTCTATTTATTTGCACACTCTATGTTCTCTTCTCTAGAATTTAATTCCTCTCCTTGTTTCCTCCTTCGTAAAACTCGGAAGAACCTAACAAAGGAAAACATGAGGCGAAATGACTAGCGTGCGTCGGCTACATCCTAAGTCGTTTCCCACTTATCCGGAACCCTGCCAATCACAGCCCAAGCTCGGACTACTCTAATGCAGCAATTTCCACCGACCTCTCTAGGGAAAAGGGAAACCGCCCCCAAAAATCAGGGTCTGTCATGAGGCGTTTGTTAGCTTTTTCATTAGTATCCTTTCTGTAAAAATATTAAAACCATGGTGGGCGCCATATTTTCTCCTAGACCCCAACCTCTATTCACAGGCCCAACATGGCGCCTTCACACTCGTTCAAACTATACTTGTCACTCGCTTTATCTTACCTCAGTCCCCTCGTTTCCGCCGCGCCATGGATAGTAACAGAAAATTATGAGCAGGAGCTCGTAACCTACGGTTACAACTCCTTGCGCGTAAACACCTACATCCAACAAATCACCCCAACGGCAACTCTCCCCGCAGAAGCGCTATCAACTATAACATCCACCGACACAGTCTATGGCTATACCATAGTTGAGAAACTTTACCCAACAGGGTACGGCTCCGCCGCCGCTTACGAGAACGGCTACTCCCTCGACAGCGACGGCAACGTCCACAGCACAGTCTACAAAGTGAACCTCACCTTCACCGCGCCAACAGGCTGCTCAACCAAATGGACATCAACAATCGCGGCGGAAGTCACGCCCCCATACACAATTGCCAACGCTCTTCCCCGCGAAACAGGAGCCGCCTCCACTTCCGTCGACGACACTCGGCCTTTCCAACCAACAACATACTACTTCGACGTCGTCTACGTCAACCCAACTCAAATTCCAAGCCGTACCCTTTCTTCACTAAGTTACTATAATACCCCGACCTCTGTAGCCGGCGGCGCATCTTGCCAGTATACATCCAGCTCCGGTGGCTATTACGGCGGCGGCTATTACACCAACAGCTATTACGGCGACGACTACTGGGATAACTGGTACACAAGCAAGTGGGGTCTAGGCGTTGGAATCTCCGGCCTGGCAATAACACTCATCTGTGTCCTGGGCTGGATAGGCCTGTTCCTGATCCTCGGCTTCATCGAAGCATGGGTCCGATTCCGCCGTCTCATGACAGGCTGGCAAACCCGTCGCGGACTTCCGCTTTTCTGGTGTTTCCTTATCTTCCCTGTTACGCTGTTCTTCCTCTTTTGTTTCCGGAAGGGGTATCGTGCGCGCAGTCGTGAGGATGCCGAGGTTCTAAAGAAGAGGTGGGATGCTATGCCTTTCGGGACTAAGTTGAAGCTTTACTTTGTTTGGGGCTTCCGCTTCAAGTATCCGCCTATCCTGGGTCCTGCACCTGCTAGGGTGCAGGGTAGTAAGAAGCCTAAGGAGTCGGGTCCTAGGCTTTTGGATGCTACTCCGCCTGGTTCTGCTGCTGGGTCTGGGGCTGAGAGGGGTCTTGCTGGTGTTCCTGAGGTTGGGGAGGTGCAGGGTCAGCAGGGTCATGTTGTTCCTCAGCCGCATGTTCCTGATGTCGAGGCTTCGGGGGCTACTTCTGGGCCGAGGGATGAAGAGATTGGACACGCTCGTTGATTGAAATTTAGTGGTTGATTGGGGAGGTGTGTGTGAATTTTTTTGCAAAACGGTGATATATATATTCTTTAGTGGGAACGTCCACCGTTTCTAATCATTCATGTGTCCAATGTATGTTAATATTTAATTGATACCACGTGCTTTTCGTTCCCATAAGATCAAACAACTCCAGACAGAATTTTAGACCGGTTCAAAAAAAAAATAATAAAATAAAAGAAGGACACGACAAATTTACTCAATGCTGGAAATCAAATTCTGTAGTTACATGGGATATAAAATTATTTTATCAAATAAAAAAATAAAAAATAAAAAAAAAAAGTAACGCTCACTCGTGGACGGTGTTTAGGAATAGCCGAACGCGGGGGTCGAACCCGCAGCCTTAAGATTAAGAGTCTTACGCTCTACCGATTGAGCTAGCCCGGCCGGGCTGTTGATGGGGTCTCCATTTCTGACTATATAAACCAAAATACCTTACATATTCTCATCCACTTCCCGTCCCGAAGCCTCATGGTTCCCCCGGACATCAGAATGGTCCCAATCAACAACGTAATGGAGCAGTCGGGCCAAACTCCCCATGCAAAACAAGCCGCATGTCTGACCTGCCGACGAAGCAAGATCCGCTGCAATCGCGCAGCGGGCGAAACTCGCTGCGAGAAATGTAAGCAGAGTGATGCGGAGTGCATCGTGCCAAGCCACCATCTAGGCAGACAGAAGGGAGTAAAGAAGTGAGTCAAGTTGAGATAGAATGAAACCAAACATCCCTGTCCTTGGCAGCGGGAGATCAGCGCTGACGCGTGCACAGCAAACGCAAGGGTCTGGAGAAGGCGATCCATCAGATCGAACAGGCCATCAAAAGACCCAGGATTGACTCCGGCGACGGTGATGCGCAAAGAGCCATCTCCGGTCTGCAGGACCTCCTCATCCAAGTCCAGGGTCAATTAATGCAGAGTGATCAAGATGCTTTCTCCGAGGGTCCGGGGCCGGGTCATGATCCTGATTCCGACCCGCCTTCGCTGCGCGATACCAAGGTCGATGAGAGTCTCACATTGGACGATGCAGAAAATCCGCTGCAACTGCTAGCACGAGCTTCGGATCTACAGCTTTCGCCGACGGGCGTGCGCCGGGCACCTAGGCCTTCGCTGCCATTGCCGGGCGCTCCGTTGGCCGTGTCGCAGGAGAATGCCATCCCTGGAGAGCCAAGCGCGAAGTCGTTTTTCGTGCCAGCTAGGGCAAATCTGGATGTTGGGTCTGAGGTTGATCCTGTGGATTTGGGCTTGGTTACATTTGATGAGTCGGAATCTTTGTTTTCGTTGTGCGTATATATATCTCCGTCTCTGATTGGGCCGGTATGATATAAGAAACGTGGTACTGACATTTGCATCAGCTTTTATCAAAACCTTGCTCACACAAGATGGGGCCTCGATCCATTGATACATACGCCATCATTTGTGCGTTCTCAATCCGCGTTTCTGTTTACATCGATCATGGCTGGTGCGGCTCTATTCCTGCCGTCGGCAGCTGCTTTATCTAAAAGATTATCTCGACATTGCAAGTCGCTTGCGCAGAGGGTAATTACGCACCGCCATAGGTCTGTCGAGATTGTTCTGGCTTTCATGGTTAATGTTCCGTGGATGTCCCCTGGTGATAGTCTCGGAGATGACGATACCTGTTCCTATATTGCCATGGCTTTGACTGTTGCTTTGGATTTATCATTGAACAAGATTGTCTCGCCATCTGCGAGCTTTGATCAGGAACTTCTCAATCGTTTAGCTCGGGCGGACTGTATCGATCCAAAGAGGGCTTTGCACATGGACGGATTTGATGATGTTGATCCATGCTCTGAGTGGGGTCTGCGTCTGCTACGGCGACGTGAAAGAGCTTGGATTGCGTTGTTTGTTGTTGAGAGGGGGTAAGTTTGAGCTCTTTGTCTTTGATATGTGGTGTTATTGTACTGACTGCCTGACAGGGTTTGTCTTGCCCGTGGACGAAGCTACACGGTTCCTCTAACTACGCTTATTGAAAATTGCGACCGCTGGCATCTGTCCAATATCGCAGATTTGCGTGATGGTCCTATGAATTCCATGGCAGTTCTTCGCAGAGATTTGGTAAAAGTTATTATGCCCAAAAGTCGCCTATGGCTCTAATGGTAAATCTAGGACGGACTATTCAAAAAGGTCAAATCAAGCTGTGATAGTTATCGAATCGTCGATACCGGCTCAGAAGCCGCTCAATCGTACGAGTTACTACAATCGGTGGACGTTCTCCTGCTAACCGCGAAACAGCATAAAGAAAACCATCCAGACCTTCTACGAACGATGGTACGCAACATGGGCCCTAGCAATCGGCGAAGGTGACAGTAAGTACGGACTACCTCACCGAAAGAGCATTATACTAACCCAGAAAGCACGCTCTCTTCCCCCTTACGTCGAGATTCTGGTAACGCACACCCAACTCTCAACCTACGGCGGCGTAATCAACCACCCAACAGCGCCCCTCGAAGTGAAACGCTTCTTCCGCGCCGCGGGTCTCTCATCCGCCCTAAACGTACTCCGAGCCGCCATCCAAGGCGAATCCCGCCTAAAGTCAATGCCCAACAACACAGTCATCATGATATCCTTTGCAGCCTGCTCAGCACTAAGTCTAAGCGTAACGCCCGGCGACAGCAGATCAAGTCTCGCACCCAGCGTGCGAAACCTAATCGAAGAAACAGCCGGCGTTCTAGAAAGAGTCGGTGCAACGCCTAGCCATCGGAATGGTTCGTCAGTGCTCTATGGCCGCTTTCTGCGCGAGTTGATCCGGAGAGCTCCTGCCTTCCCTCTTCCGCTATCCCATCCACAATCCCAATTCCAACCCACTTCTCAACGCGTCAATCCATCTGGCATGGATTTACCTGAACCAACTCTGCCCCATACATCTTCATCTCTCGACACCCACGGCCTCCCAATCCAAGTCACCCAACCCCCAACATCCCTCCCACCTGAGGATCTATGGTCCGAGCCAATGCACTTTTCAGCTATGTCGGATAACCAGATTGTCGATGCGGTTAATCGGGCTGGGACGGCGTTCGGGGCGTCTATTCCTGATGTTCCACTTGATGATATGCTAAACTGGGATTGGCTTGATTTTGCCAATGCAGATTTGGGTCTCTGATGAATGAAGATGGAGGAGAGGCTAGTGTTGTTGTATTGATACCCACAATTGTAATGGTTTTTGTTTCTGGGTTGTCAGACACAGTTTCTTTGGGAAGTAATAGTAGCCTTGAGTACACACCTCACATGAAGGTTTATCTGACTTCAGTCAGGTGTCCGCAGATCAAACCATTGCACAAAGGATCTCTAATCATCCATTTACCTCAATAATAATGATAGTCAAGCATGTCCACTACGCCTAAATATAATTCGCCACCCAAACCAAGTAACCACAGAGAATCGCAGGGCTCAGCAACCACGCAGCGCTATCCCAGGTCTCCAGCATGGGGGCCATCTTGGTTAACGTCATAGTAATCGGCCGCTATCCAACAAGACATACAAGCAGCACTTCTCCAAGAGAAAAAAGAGAAATATTTTTACAATAAAAGCTTGAATATAAAATCATCCCTCATTTCCGTGATAAAACTATATACCCATCAAGATACAACCCAGCCATCCAGCCAGCCACCCACGCACCCACATTCCAACCCATCTAAAACCACAAAGCACACCCCGCAAGCAAAATGGTCCTAGATTGGAGCGCCCTCGCCCCTGGTCCATCCGGAACAGCCATGCTAGGCGAAAGTGGAATCGAAGGCGCCGCCCGACGTGGACGGGAGCGGTTGCGACGCGAGGAGGAGCAGCGGGCTCTTAAGAATAAGGATAAGTGGAGAGGGGATGGTGCATTTACTAGTGATCCGGCTTCAGATGTTACTTTGGTTCCAGGGGGACAATTGAATGGTCTCTCTTCGGAATGTACATCTAATCGGCGGACTGATGAGGAGATGAGGGCCGAGGCCCAGCGAAGGACTGGCGAGACGATATCTGGCGGTTTGAAGGGGAAATTGGGGAGGCTTAAGAAGACTTTGACTGGTTGATCAAATGGATCGGAGTTATGTTTTGATGTTTGATTCGAGTTAAGTGTCTTGCGTACTTCGGCGTTGAGTTTATGGTTAATACCAGATATTCGGTGTACTTTATATAATTCCAAAAACACAAAAGCACATACGAACATATCCAAATGCGCCACCCAATTAGAAAACCATACATAACGGCGACAAAAAAGACCCGAAAACAAGCGACGTCACTCGGTACAGTCGGCCCATCGGCGTCCAAAAGTAGCTCCGACCGCCGAAACCTGTCAACACTTTAATAGCTCAAACAACTCCAATTCTTCTCAATTTCCCCTCCAAAACACAAACACAAACATGGCAGCGCTTCGCATTTCAACAGCGACATTGTCGCGTAAAGCAATCACCGCCAGCCGGCCCCGACTCTACCTCGGAGTCCGCGCTGGCTTGCGCCCTCTGCAACCCACCTCCAGCTCCACAAGCATCAGCTCTCGATACTCCACGACCGCGCCGTTACAATCACTCGCACCGAAGATCGAGCGCGGCGGGTCAAAGCTCTTCAAGGATGCCGATGCCGCGGTCGCAGATTTGAAGAGTGGTTCGACGATTCTTAGTTCTGGATTTGGGCTTTGCGGGGTTGCTGGTACGTATCGAGCAGACAGAGTAATTTAATGTCGGGAATGGTGATGCTGATATATGGTTCTATATAGAAACATTGATCAATGCTATGCACCGTCGAGGCGCCGATCAATTGCACTCTCTAACAGCCGTATCGAACAACGCCGGCGCCGCGGGCAAGGGTGGTCTTTCGACTCTATCGCAGAATGGCCAGCTGAACCGTTTGATCCTTTCCTACTTGGGCAACAATAAGATACTGGAAAAGAATTACCTGACGGGTAAGATTGCTATCGAGCTTTGTCCGCAGGGCACCTTGGCTGAGCGGCTTCGTGCTGGTGGTGCTGGTATTCCGGCGTTTTTCACACCGACTGGTGTCCGTACGTAAACATCTTTCGTTTGCTTCATTTAATGAGAGTGAAATTTATTAACATTAAAAATTTAGACACATTCATCCAAGAGGGCAAGATCCCCGTGCGCATGGACGAATCAGGCAAAGTCCTTGAATCGGGCAAGCCGCGCGAAACACGAGAATTCAATGGCAAGAATTATCTCATGGAGACTGCTTTGACGGGCGATGTAGCCATTATTCGGGCTTGGAAGGCGGACGAGGCTGGTAACTGCGTGTTCAGGTGTGTTCTCCGTCAATTTCTCTCAATTTATCCTAGCTCACACGCCTTCTCTAGATACACGACTAAAGCTTTCGGCCCAATCATGGCCAAGGCCGCAACTCTTACCATTGTCGAAGCCGAGAATATCGTCCCTGTTGGCTCTATCGACCCGAATGATGTCGATTTACCCGGAATCTTTGTGGATCGCATTGTGCCTGCGACAGACGAGAAGCATATTGAGATTAAGAAGTTGCGTTCTGGCGAAGCCAGTGCGACTAGGCCGACTAGGGATGCGGCGCAGATTCAGAGGGAGATTATCGGTCGTAGGGCTGCTAAGGAGTTGAAGCCCGGGTTCTATGTTAACCTTGGTGTTGGTATGTATATGCAGCTTGTGGAGGTTGTTCGTGGCTGACTTAGTTTTAGGTATTCCTACTTTGGCACCCTCTTTCCTGCCAAAGGATGTGAAAGTTTGGATTCAGTCGGAGAATGGTATTTTGGGAATGGTAGGTTGATCTATGCTTTTGAGTTGGCTTTTCTAACTGGCTTGATTTAGGGCGATTATCCCACTGAGCAAGAATTGGATGCGTAAGTTTTCCAGCTGTCCTTATCATGCCTCGCGATCTAACATGAATACAGGGATATTATCAATGCCGGAAAAGAGACCGTCACTCTTGTCCCTGGCGCTTCCACTTTTGACAGCACCGAGTCCTTTGGCATGATCCGGGGAGGTCATGTTGACGTTTCTATTCTTGGGGTTCGTGCTCGCATATAAAGGAAGAGAATCTTCGCTAACTGGTCCAATAGGCTCTCCAAGTGAGCGCTAACGGCGACTTGGCAAACTACATGATCCCCGGCAAGGTATTCAAGGGTATGGGCGGAGCCATGGACTTGATCTCCAACCCCGACCAGACCAAGATTGTTGTAGCCACCAGCCATGTTGCCAAGGATGGATCACCCAAGATTGTGCAGCAGTGCAGCTTGCCTCTGACCGGCGCTAATGTTGTTAGCACTATTATCACAGACCTGGTAAGTGGACATGATTGATCATGAATAACAACGACTGACCATTGGATAGTGTGTGTTCCAGGTCGACCGAGCTACTGGAGAGCTCACGCTGACGGAGCTCGCTCCTGGTGTTGAGGTGGAGGAGGTGCAGAGCAAGACGGATGCTAAATTTGCGATTGCTGACACGCTTGAGATCATGGAATAGATATTTACTGCATAAATTTGACGATTTGGACATTTACTTGCAGTCATTGTATATTGAACATTTACCATATAGACAATCAAATTCAAACATATGTACGGAACAACAGAATATAAACAGAGTAATAAACTATATGCAACCGAGTATCTATTCAAATCTACAACTTCGCTCGCCCAGGAGCAAAATTCGAACCCTGCCCATTACCAATAGCCCCAACAATAGCATCAACGCTCTCCAAAATCCACAAGTTACCCTCATCACTAGCTAACCACTTAGCCCCAACCTCCCCCTCAACATCACCAACCCAAGACCCATCCTCAAGTGCCTTCCTCAACCCAAAAACATGCGAAGTAACCTGCGGCCCAACCCCACTCTGCGCCCTCAAACAAGCAACAGCAACAATAGAAGTCAAAACTCGTCCAGCAGACGTCCCACTAGCCCTTTCACGCACCGGATCCGAAAGCAAAGCCCCATAATTCGCATGCAGGATATGCACCGGCAAATCAGGATGCGACTCGGACAACTTGTCATACAACTTCGTCTCAAAGGGCCGGTAGATCGAATCCCAGAGTGCGTGGCCGCGTTGACTGATGCCCGTGATATTTTCGGGGGTCGGGGCGCGCGTTGGTGTGCGGGATAGTTGGGCGGTGATTGTTTCCGGTAGGCTTGCGCGGAAGGAGCCCAGGCAGTTGATTGTTCGGGGGATGCCGTTAAAACTTATGCATTTCAGCCCGACTTCGCGCATCAGTTCGGCTGTTTCGAGGGATTGGGTTGGTGTTGTTGTGCTCGCTAGGTTGTAAAGGGCTGTTAGGGACTCGGGGGAGTTCATTGTCATTGTCGCTGCGGTCTGGTGGGTATTAGTCTACTGTGTCATTTATTCCATGCTGTTTTATGTACTCACGGATAGTGCGACCCATGATGGCTGCGAGATCTGCTTCGCCTGCGCGGTCTGCTGGATCTTCTGGTAGACCGAGGTTATGTTGGCCGGGGCGGGGACGGTGGACGGTCGGGCGGCGGGGGCATTGATCAACGCCTTGAGGCTTGCTGAGAGTTTCGACATCTCTACTGATGAGCGTCTGGAGGAGGGATGTCTGGCCATTAAGAATGCGGCTGGAGACCAAATCTCGGGACCGAGGTTTTGGAGAGGATCCCGGAGACCAGAAGTGGCCGCCGAGCGATACCGGCAGTCAGCAGTAATACAACAGTAACCGGGAAATAATATTACGGTAACTTTACACGCGGCTCCCAGAATCCGGGGTTGTTTTGCGGGGGACAAAGGATGTCAGCTCTTTCTCCTTGGTTACGGCCCCAGATTTGGTAGCCGACTCGTTTGGCTTGAGTCTATTTGTGTGCGTATTTCCCCCCATTTTTCTCTCCCTTCTTCCATTCTTTTAACCCCCAGTTTACGATTGACAGACGGTCAAGAAAACCAAGACTTGTCCTGCGTCGCCAAGCTTTGAATTACCCACTCTATGGATACCAAATTGAAGGCGGAGGAGCTCGAGGAGGCAAAGCCCGCCCCCTCAATCGATATGGCGATCACGCACAACAGGAGAAATTATCGCGGAAGATACTACTGAAGTTGGATACGCGGTTAGTCTTGCGCCCCTGAAACCGCGAAAAGAGGCTAATTGCTTCTAGAATTCTTCCTATACTGGCCCTGCTTTTCCTATGCTCTTTTCTCGATCGGACGAATGTCGGTAATGCGAAGATACTCGGCTTGGAGAAGGACCTCTCTATCACTGATCATCAGTACGACATCGGTTTGGCTGTATTCTATCTTACCTATATCTGCAGGTGCGTTTGTTCCAGCCATTGAAATTGAACACGGAAATAAAGAGCTAATGGGTATACAGCGAGTTGCCGAGTAACCTTGTGCTCAAGAAGGCATCGCCGAAACTTTGGTTGCCTTTTTTGACGGTTCTTTGGGGTATCATCACTATGTGCCTTGGTTTTGTGCAGAATTTTGCTGGTTTCGTGGCTGTTCGCGCTTTGTTGGGTATTGCGGAAGGTGGTCTGCTTCCGGGCATGGTATGTTCTTGACAATGAATGTGAGAAGAAGTGGAGGCTAATTGGAAGAATGCAGGTTCTATACCTGTCTACCTTCTATAGACGAGGTGACCTCGCTCTGCGGATTGGGTTGTTCTATACGGCTGCTTCTCTGTCTGGTGCCTTTGGAGGTATGTATCTCTCCTACTAAGTGTCAGTTCGATGCTAATTGATTAGGTCTTCTTGCCCGTGGATTAGCTGAAATTGGACCTCGCGGAGGCCTAGAAGGCTGGCGCTGGATTCTGATCATTGAAGGACTATTGGTATGTTCATATCACTGTTCAAAAATGGAATAGGGTCTTCTCTAACTGGCGACAGACCTTTGTCTGCGGAGTACTGAGCTTCTTCGCCCTCCCAAACTCCCTAGAGTCAGCAACCTTCCTGACTACCGAGGAAAAGGAATTCGGTCGGGAGAGGCTGATGCTCGATAATCCCAGGACCCTAGAAGGGTAAGCAGGCCACCATCTCTCATTCACAATCCCGCTAACAACAGCAGAAACCTAGCCTCAGAAGCAGAATCCTTCAAATGGTCCGAAGTACGCCGCGGCGTCCTAGACCTCCAAGTATGGTTCTCCGCCACAGCCTACTTCGCCATCCTATCAGGGCTATACTCCTTCGGCCTATTCGTATGCACCCAATCCATCCACCACACAAGAATCCCAACTAACATAATGCAGCTCCCAACAATAATCAAAAACCTCGGCTTCGCCAAAGACGCCAACGAGGTCCAACTATGGTCTGTGATCCCCTACGCCGTGGCAGCGGTAGTCACCGTAATCGTGGCATTTATCTCCGATCGTCTGCGCCTCCGAGGCGTGGTCATGCTATTCACCCTTCCGATTGCTATAATTGGCTACGCTGCCATTGCCAATATCGATTCTCCTCGCGTCCAATATGGAATGACTTTCCTTATGGCTACCGGGCAATATGCCAGTGTACCTTGTATCTTGGTGTGGCTGTCAAATAACTCGGCTGGGCATTATAAGCGGGCTACTACTTCGGCGATGCAGTTGGCTATTGCTAATTGTGGGGGTTTTGTTGCGAGTAAGTTTCTCAGCGTTCTATTTTCTCCATTCATTACTTCTATGGTATTGACGGTTGGTGTTCTAGCTTTCAATTATCCGTCTAAGGATGGCCCTCTCTTCCATCGTGGACACACGATTATTCTTGGTCTTCTGGTATTTGCATGGTTCATGTGAGTACCTTCCATTCCATTTCACATTCCGGAACTGTCACTAATATTATATAGGATCCTGCTTAACGTTCTTTACTGCGCAAAAATCAACCGAGACAAGAAGAACGGCAAATACGACCAATACATTGGTTACAACGACGACCGCAACCCAGAATTCGTGATGATTCTTTGAAGTTATAGTGATGTCCATCTACATATATGAAACAAATTACGAATGCAGTTATTTGCACACTTGAGAATTGAATCGTAGAAATCATAAAATATCTTGTGGTTTCTCTCACTCTTTGGTTTGATAACGAAACCACTATTCAAATAACACAAAACAAAACAACTCTACCACCACCAAGAACTGTCCCTCCACACCTGCCTAGTCACCCCCCTCAAATCATCCGTATTAATCACATCCACACCCTCATGCACAAGCACGTTCCAAACACTATTCCGGAGTCCAATCGGCCAACTCGGATTTCCCCAATACCGCACTTTCAATCCCAGTTCATGGGCAGCGTGCACTTGATCCCGGAGAGTCTCGAGTTGGGTCTCTGATAATCGGCCGAGCTGGAGAGGGCCGATTGCCTTGCGGAAGTCGACGGAGGCGTAGTAACTGTTATTTGGGTTGAATGGGGATTCCGTGAGCTGTCCATTTGAGTCATTTGAGACTTGATCTGTGATTGTCGTCGTGGTATCATTGACTGGGAATTGGGCGAGGTTATCCAGTGGTGCATCATAGAAGATATCACGATACGTTGTATTCCGCACAAGACTCGAAAAAGAAATATCCCCATTCGTAACGATTGTAACAGGGCGCGTGACAACGCCACTCCCATTGAAATGAGTCAGATACCCCCGATCCCGAAGTGGAGTAAGCGCATCAGAAAGAAGAGACCAGAGTAACTCGCCGTCGGATTTGAAATCGATGAGTAAGACGAGGGTTTGTTTGGGATCATTTGCGAAGACGCCCACGATATCATCACCGTCACCGTCCCCAATCTCACCCCCACTCCCAATGGCAACCCATTCCACCTTCTCCCGATTATGCAAATCAAGCATCTCAACCAAAGGCTCCAGATAAAGTCTCTCCAACGTCCCCCTCAACACAGTAAACCGTGAATGACCGACAAGGATCTGATCGCGCCATGGCCACACATCAGCCTCGACGCTGATACACCCGGCTGATAGAGCCGAGTGGAGAGGCACGTGGCGCCAGTAGTCGTTGTGAGAGTGGCAGCGGACTGGGATGACGCCGTGGGTGGACCATGTTGAGAAGGGGGATGGTTTGCGGGAGAAGGTTATTAGTTCTAGGTCTGGGAGGAGGGTTGGTAGGTGGGTTGTTGCTACTCTGAGGAGGTTAAGGAGGCCGCTGTAGATGTGAGTTAGTTTTTGTATGCACGTTGTTTGTAACGGAGGGAGAATGGGGGCAGGTAAGATGAGGATGGGAAGGGTGCCTACAAGGTCACAATGAAGATCCACAACGGCCGTTGGACACATCTGCAGAAGATAGTCCGCGCGGATTGGGGATGCGCTATGCAAAGCGGATGCGAGCATTTCCAAATCGAGGACATCGAAAAATGTCTTGGCTTCATTTTCATGGTGTGTTTTGGTGTGCCATTGTTGGAAATGACTAGGATGGGTGTTAGGGTTGAGTTGGCCATCGCAGGCGCCAAGACGATGTAAGAAAGCTTGGCTGCGGGTGGGAAGCGTGAGACTATATGAACACACTCTAGCTTACATGTATGTACGTACGCGCTGTCTAAGTGGAACGTCAAAACGCGTCTGCCTAATCCGACGATGGGTGGCACAGGATGCACGTCTAGTTACTGTTCCATTCTATGTACTCGCCGGGACTTTTGCTTTTAAGGGTGGAGAGAGGCTCCTCGCTTGTAATACTCGATACTCATACTTGCACTTATAATCATACACTCACGCTTAATTCTCTTCGTCGGCTTCTTGCGCAGCCCGCTTGCGAGGCCCTTCCTTGCCGGCGAAACTGGCCAACATGCCCAGGTCGTAGACGACCTTCAAGCATCCGGCGATCATGAAGGAGACGCCGAAGAAGCCGTTGCGTGCCAAGATACCTGTTAGCAGGGGTCCCATGCTTTGACTGGTTGTCTTGACAACGTTGACGGCTCCCATGATGGCTGTGCGCTTGTCTGCTGGTAGGGCTGCCGCTAGGAATGCGGAGCGGGGTGCTACGTCCATGCTCTGGGAGCTAGCTCGTAGGACGAGGAAAGTTAGGGCCAATGGGAGGCTGGATGGGACGGATATCAAGGCCAGGCAGACGGCTGAGGGGAGGTGAGTGAAGACCATGGTCTGCAATAGTTAGCAATTGATCCGCGAAGACTGCTAGTATGGATAGCTCACCTTGACATTTCCAATGCGCTTGGCGAGAGATGATGCGACCAGCATGGAGGCTGCGGAGATGATGTTCGTGGTGAAGAAGATCGTCCCGAGTTCACCCTCGGGGAGGGAGAACTTGCGCTTGAAGAAGTATGTCATCCAGGATCTGCAGGGGTCAGCTTGTGTCAATGAATCGCAATCGGAATACCCACAGAGAAGCCAGTCCAGAGGCGAACGCGTCCAAACCGAACAAGATGAACAGTCGAATAACCAGCGACCACAAATCCTTTTCAATAGATGCAAACAAGCCCTTCTTCTTGGGTGCCTCCTGTTCGTGTTCTGGGTTTGGATCCAGCAGTGCGCGAGTTTCACCATTCTCCGGAGCCTCCTCCTTCTGAACCTCCACCTTGCCACTCAAACCCAGAGTAAGAATCAACTTGACGATACCAACACCGGCATAGACGAAGAAGATAATCCGACACGAAGGAATGAACTCCCACCCGTGAATGGACTCCAAAGAATTGATAATCCAGCCACAGACCAGCATACCCAACGCCGAACCAGCAGTCCCAATAAGCGAATACCAAGCAAAAACATCACTAAGCAACTCATGGGGCGTAAGATGCGCCAAAGTCGATTCCTCTACAGCGCGGAAAGGGCCAATTTCATTCCCACTGCCGAGAATTAGCACTCCACCATCAATCAGATCAGATAGAAAAGAACCCAACCACTCACCTCGGACTAATAACACCAAAAACCGCCGCAGCCAAAAGAGCCCAATAATTACCAAAGAACCCAAATACCAGCCCACTCCCAGCCATCAACGCCGATCCAAGCGACAACACCGCCTTGCGGCCCATCGCATCGGCAAATAGCGTGAGGAAGAAGCTAATCACCACATCGCCGATCAGCGTCAACGTCATAAATAATCCAATGCGATCATCCGAGATGCCAATGGCGGATAGGTATGACGCGAGGATGAGTGTTGAGCCGCCATATGCGAAGAGTCGGACGAAACGTTGAGCGCAGAGGAGTTTGACGTCCAATGTGGAGTGCCACATTGTTAAGAGGCCCAGCTCGTTTAAAGCGTTGGTTAAGTGTGGCATTTTGGCGGTGAGTTGAGAAGGTGGGGGAAGAAGAGGAAGAGAAGGAGAAGGGAGAACTGGGCGGGAGGTTCAACGTGAAGGGGTTAACTCCGAAAAAGCTCGGGGTTCCTGCCGCCCTCGGGGCTAACCTAAGCTTTTCGGCTGCCTAAACACGCGATGGATAGCCTATAAGGCTGAAGAGGGTCTTTTCTCTGTTTCTTGATTGGTTCGGTGTTTTTAGAATATTATGACATGCAAAAATACCTGCTCGGAGATCTGGCTTCGTGCCGACCATATACAGAACACACAATTGCAATGGAAGCATCATTCAACCGGTTATATACAAAGACAGAACCTCATATTCCTCACATCTCTAATTCTCCGTCTTAACGGGCCACTTCACCCTCCGCTCAGCGCGGACATACAAATTCGTCGGCCGAATCAACTGGAACATAGGATCATATTCCACAGGCCCATCATTCTCCCTCGTAAAGCGATACCTATACAACAACTTCGGCAAGAAGACCTTAACCTCCTGCAAGGCAAAGTTAAAGCCAATGCACATGCGCGGTCCCGCAGCGAAAGGCACATAAGCACCCTTATGTCTGTTCTTGACATCATCCGTATCCCAGCGATCAGGATCGAAGCGGGCGGGATTATTCCACACGGCTGGATTATTGTGGATGTGGTGCAGGGCCGGGATGACGATTGAGTCTTGGGGGAGCTTGTAGCCGCCTGGGAGGATCATGTCGACTCGTGCTGTGCGCGCGGGTTGGTAGGAGGGATTGTGGCGGCGTTGGGTTTCTTTGATGAATTTGTCCAGGAAGGTGAGGCGGTCTGTTAGGTCTGCTGTCATCAATGTATTTTCGTTGATGTCGTTGTCGATTAGTTCTTGGAGGAGGCGTTCTTGCATTCCTTCGTAGTTGACTAGGGAGTAGAGGAGCCAGGAGAGGAGGGAGCTGGTTGTTGTGAAGCCGGCACCGGTGGCTACGACTAGAGCTTCCATGAGGCTGGTTTTGGGGAGTTTTTCGCCTTTATTGTCTGTGGCGCGGATGATGTAGTCTGGGATATGTTAGTGCTTATTCTTCTGCCCTTCTTCTCTTGGTCTCTCACCAATCATGTTATTCGCTTTCAACGCAGCATCCTGCAACGGCAAATCCTCAACACCACCCCGGGAAGCATTGGCAATAGACTCATTGACCATCTCAACGATCCGCCCACGCGCATCCCTCAACCGCTTAGGGTCCCCAAACGGCATCTTAGCATACCAATCGCCACGAGCCGTTACCTTCTTATTAAGCTCCAGCGACTCAGCAATACGGTAAACAAGCTCATGGGGTGGCGCATCAACAGCATTGAACTGCTTAAAGTCCATACCCAGCATCAACTTGCCGACAGCCTGCGAACCCAGCTTAAGCATATACTGGTAGACATTCCACGCCTCACCACGCTCATCAAGCTCATCGAAAACACTAAACGCATCCTCGACCGTCTCCTGCATGGTTGGCGCATAGTGTCGCACAGCCTTGGGTCCCAGCGCGGGAGGCAGAAACTTGTGTGCTGCGCGCCATTCGGGTGTATCGGTGTCGCCGAGGAAAACGCCGGCTTGCTGGTTCTTGATTGGGTGGAGGGGGTGGCCTTCTTGGATTTTCTTGGTGAAGAAGTCTGACTCGGCGAAGACGATTGAGGAGAGCTCCGGGTCGTTGGTCTGGTAGACTGTTCGGCCCATGTTTGTTGTGCGGATTATCGGGCCGTATTGGTCGAAGAGGCGTTGGTGGTTGCCCAGGTGGTCCGGGTAGATTTCGAAGAAATTGCCTACGAAAGGGAGGCCTTTGGGTCCTGGGATTTCTCGGACTGCTTTGCCGTCTATTGAGATTGCGATTGGGGTTTCGCTGGTGAGGATCTCTGTTGGGGTTGTGAGGGCCGCATCTTCGGTTTGGAAGCCGATGCCTGGGTTGGTCAGAATGGTTGGATGGGAGATGGGAGATGGTTATTTACCATTTGGCTCGACAATTGCGAATTGACCGGCGATGAGAAGTTGAAGGCCTTCGATGTCAATATTTGACTCGATATCAACGCCTCGGGCTGAGGTGATAGCCTCGCCCAGCAAGTAGAACTGTTTCGCAGGCATTGTATGGATGGAAATAGTGCGAATGCAAATTTGTTATCATCCAGGGCCCGCTAATATTTATAGGAATCATGCAACATAGAAAATATCATTAGAAATTACATAACTCCACCGAGTCCAATGTACCAAATTGCATTGATAATTCATAATGTACAGTGAAGTATGTAGTTAGGGGGCGTATCTCCAAACAGCCTCGGCACTTTCGATGTTTTAGACTTGGGATCCACCGCAAACCCCCTTATTGGCCAAAAGTCAGATATCGGGATCCCGTCTCTTGTTTTCTCGTCGGATTTGCTTCGAGTTTGCGCAATGACCGGCGAAAATATGGTTTCGGGCTCACCGTGGCTTCGGAACCAAGATGCCGTTGAACGGCTCGGCCCCACCGAGGTGTTTCTTGACAGGAACCGAGGTTGATATCTCACTTTTATGCACATATCGGAGTGGGTGCTGGTTAATTTCCTGGTCTTGATTTGCTTTTAAGGTCTTCATTCCTTTTTATTCTCGTGTCATATCCCTCAAAATGTCTTTCCCAGAATCTAAAGAGCTCAAGGCTGAATGGAAGGCAGATGTTGTACTTCCAGAGTATACATTGAAAGATGTTGCTGCGCATAACACAAAGGGTGATACCTGGATGGTCATCCACGGGCAAGGTATGCATGTTTGACAGATCTGGAAGGCACTCACTGACATGTCACAGTCTTTGATCTCACTGAATATCTGCAAGATCACCCCGGAGGCGCAGAGGTCCTTGTCGAGGTAGCCGGTACAGATGCCACCGCCGACTACGAAGATGTCGGACACTCTGAGGATGCCCGCGAAATCATGCAGCCCTTCCTGGTGGGCACATTGAAAGATGCCCAGCAGTTTGTGCGACCCAAGGCAGTGCGCGTGGTCTCGCCAAAAACACAGGAGGCAGCCTCCTCTTCAACGAGTGCCATGCCAGCCATCGCCGCTCTGGGTGGTCTGATCCCAATCTTTTACGTCCTCAACCGCACAAACTACCTCACCAACAGCCTGGGTGCCATCTCCAAACTCATCCCACACCAACTAAAGACCATCCGCCTCCCTCATGGCGGCTTCATCAACGGCTTCCTAGCCGCCAGCGTCATCTCCACAGCAGTGGGAATAGTAGTCGCCCGAGAAGCCAACCGCTTCACCAAAATCGACTCAGGCTTCATGCGTTACCCACCACATATGAAAGCCAAAAAAGTAATCCGCGTCGATCCCCATCTAACCCGCGGAGTCCTCGAACCGCAAACCTACCAACGCCTCCCGCTAGTCGAAAAGACTGAACTAGCAACCAATGTCTACCGCTTTGTCTTCGCCCTCCCAACCCAGACAAGCGTCCTTGGCCTCCCAATCGGCCAACACGTCGCCATCCGCGCCAACATCAACGGCACAACCGTAACGCGCTCCTACACCCCAACCTCCAACAACACAGACCGCGGCCGCATCGAACTAGTAATAAAATGCTACCCGGATGGCCAACTCAGCGGCCAATACCTCGCCAACCTTGAGCTCGGCGACGAAGTTGAGTTCCGCGGCCCTAAGGGGTCAATGCGCTACTCAAAGGGCCTCTGCAAGAAAATCGGCATGGTAGCCGGTGGCACTGGTATCACGCCTATGTACCAACTGATCCGGGCGATCTGTGAAAACGACACCGATACCACGGAGGTCAGTCTGATCTATGCAAACCGCAGTGAGTCAGATATCCTATTGCGTGCTGAGCTGGAGCGCTTTGCTCGTCTCTACCCAAAGAACTTTAAGCTTTGGTATTTGGTGGATTCTGCGCCTGAGGGGTGGACTTATGGTTCTGGGTATGTGGATCAAGAGGTGCTGAAGGCGCGGCTTCCTGGGTCTGCGGAGGATACGAAAATTATGTTGTGTGGGCCCCCAGGCATGGTTAATGCGACTAAGAAAAATTTGGTTGCGATGGGTTTTGCGAAGCCAGGGGTTGTTGCTAAGATGAGCGATCAGATCTTTTGTTTCTAGTTCTAGTTCTAGTTCTAGACTCTTCCCTGATGTGGTAATTGCCGAGGTTCAAATTAAGGTGCGTTTAAGTTTTTGTTGGGATTTTTGATTTGGCCAATTGCATTTGATGTGAATATCAGTACGGCCCCGTCGCCTAAACGCGTTGGGGTCCGAGCTAGAGAAAAGTCTGCCGTCTCGGGGGCCGATCCAGAGCGTCAGAGACGGGTTTTTCCGAAGATATGAATGGTGGATCTTGCTAAGTCAAGGATTAAACCGAGGTATCTTGGAGGTTGAGTCTCCAAAAATACTGGACGATATCCTGAATCGAGAGTCGAAGTGAACTTTGAAAGAAGAGAGAATCTCTGCGACTAAATATAGTGGATCCATTGTAGCCAATCATTCGATGCTGACCAAGCTCCTCCCAGTCGAAAATGCTTGGCGGCAAATCTCTAACAAAGGCAAACTGTTGATGCCAGTCACTTACAACTTACAATCCTCACAAAATAGATGAAATCTGGAGTTTTTGCTTAATTTCTCACGGTCATTTTCTAAAATTTGTATTTCATCGCTCAATCGCCATTCATTTAAATTTTCATCTCACCAGGTCCCTTGAAATACCCAGCCTCGACCATGTCAGGCCCTGGAATCAATGATGACGCTGTGCCATACACAAGCATGGCCGGGAAGCTAGACCCAAAACTCCTCCAAGCCCTCAAGGTGATGGAATTCGAGTTCATGACCCCAGTCCAACACCGTGTTTTGACTGAGCTCCCAACCTGGCGCAGTGACTGCCTCGTCCAGGCCAAGACCGGCACTGGCAAGACCCTGGCTTTCCTACTCCCTGCCCTGCACTGTCTCCTCCAAGGCCAGGCAACACCACCAAAGGGCCAGGTAGCCATCCTGATCATCACCCCGACGCGAGAACTCGCCCAGCAAATTGCCAAGTCATGTGATCAACTAACATCGCAACTCACCACTCCTGTCAGATGTGATATCGCCGTTGGTGGAACAAACAGGGCGCCTGCCTTTTCTCGATTCATGAAGCAGACTCCCTCTGTTCTTGTGGCCACTCCTGGACGTCTGAAGGATTATCTTTCCGATGAGGACTCGGCGGAGAAGCTGTCTAACATCCAAACTCTCGTTCTGGATGAAGCCGATACCATGCTTGAGAGCGGATTCATCCATGACGTGAAGCAGATACTCAGACTTATTCCCCCTAAGAGTGCTGGCTGGCAGGGAATGTGTTTCTCGGCTACCGTCCCACCGAAGGTCAAGGATGTGGTCAGCGTGGTCTTGAAGCCAGGCTATACCAGTCTTTCCACCATTGAAAAGAATGAAGCACCAACGCACGAGAGAGTTCCCCAGTACCACGTGCTGATGCCATCCGTGTCGCAAACCTTCACCACCCTTGCCTCGCTTCTCAGCCTTGAAATCAAGACCAGCTCCAAAATCATTGTCTTCGGTGTCACCGCCAACATGGTTGCTCTCTTCGCAGCTGTCTTCTCCCAGGGCTTGACTCCCCTGAAGGTGTTCGAGATCCACTCCAGGCTCAACCAGCGCGCACGCACAAGGACCACAGACGAATTTAAGGAAGCCGAAGCTGGAATCCTCTTCGCCTCAGATGTCATCGGTCGCGGTATGGATTTCCCCAACGTCGATCTAGTCATCCAAGTCGGCCTACCATCCAACGGCGAGCAATACGTCCACCGAGTCGGCCGTACCGCACGTGCCGGAAATGACGGCCGCGCCATCATCCTCCTCACCCAAGGCGAGTCTTTCTTCATGAACAACAACCGCCACCTGCCCATCAAGCCTCACCCCGCTACCGAAGCCATCAATGCAGACGCAGACTCATGCGCCGAGTCCGTCACCCAGGCCATGTACAACATCGACGAAGAGACCAAGCAACGCGCTTACTCATCATTCATCGGTTTCTTCGCTGGATCAGGTCTGATGAGACAGCTCCGTCTTGACAAGCCCGGCCTTGTCCAACTCGCAAATGAAATGGCCATGAACGCTATGGCTTGCCCCGAGCCTCCCCAATGGACAAGAAGGTCATTGGCAAGATGGGATTAAAGGGCGTGCCCGGTTTCAACTATGCGAGTGCTAGCGACCTGGCAGCTAAGCGCGGTGGTGGTCAGCGCGGTCGTTCCCGTTCTAAGAGTAATACCCGCGAGCCCAAGACTAAGAACCGTGATGCTTTAAGCCCCGGTGCTGGTCAGGGTGATCGCAGAGGTGGTATTGAGAAGAGACGTGGAGGTGGTGGTGGTGGCGGTAGAGGACGGGGTGGACGGGGTGGAGGTCGTGGACGTGGAAAGCCAAGATCGGAGTAAGTGTTTTGCACCGAGACTCATACCATTTCCCCTATTATGCCCTAGAAAAGTATCTACATAGAACATGCAATGTCCAGATTAGACAAACCAAAACCAAACAGCCCAGAAATATGCTAATGAAATCCAATCCAATCAATACCCGTCTTGTCAACCCATAACTCCCATCTATATCTACTCAATCCCAACTCAATTCAATTCCAACTCCAAATACCACCCCTTCGCCCCATCCTCACCAGTATTAACCAACAACCTCACCTCCCTCCCTAGGCCGACTAACAAAAGCAATCGGCGTACCCGTCTTGCCCCTCTTAATCCGAACATGAGCCCCAGCCCCAAGATCCATAGTATACCGCTCAATGGACGAAAACGTCCCCTTCGCCTCCTCCGAATCAGGATAAAGCTTCACCTTCACCTTAACAGGCGTCCGCACATACGGATGAAGATGTAAATGCGGAGGCGGCGTCGATCCAGGCGCTATCCGCACTGTTTTCTTTTTCTTTGTTGGTGGTGGCTCTGCCGGCTCTGCTACTGGGGCTGGTTTTGGCTCTGCTGGTGCGGGCTCAGGCGGTGCTGCATCTGGTGAGTCTTTGGAGGTATTGGAGGATCGTCGGCTTCGACGATGTTCTTCTGCTGCCTTGGGCGAACGTCGGTAGCAGCAGTATAGTAGTAACAGTAGGAATGCTGCGCCGACTATTGAGCCTGCTATTGCGCCTTTGAGGGGCCCTGATATGCCGCTTTCTTTGCTGCTGCTACCACTTCTGCTGTTATTACCGGTGTCGCTGTCCGTATCGTCGGTGAATGCATAGCTTGCGGGAGGAGTAAATGTTATTGAGTTACCGCTACTGCTAACAGCGAGTTCGCGGGTATGAACTTCTGTCGTGCGGGGACCAGACGATCCCAGTATCAAAGCTGAAGATGTGGAATCTGGTCGCGGGATTGTCTGGGTGGACTGGTGTATCACAGGCGCCATCGCCCTACCTGCGATTCAAACCGAATTGACATCTTCTCCGAACTTCGATTCTCCGAAGAAGAAAGAAGAGGAGGGAGGAGGGTTTAATTCTAGGTCAATGTGGCAGGTACATATAAGCGGGGGTTTGGTTTGGACTATGGGCATTGTGCTGATTAGTGCATCATGTACTCCATACATGCAAGATAGTTGAATGCCGGGGTTCGCTTTTGTTGTTAGTTCGCGTCATTTGCCCTGCTGCTGGTGGTCTATAGCGGGTTCGTTGCATGCGTGTGGGTTGATCATGGTCAATCAACTTTGGGGATTTTGGGGGTTTCTGAGTTGTTCATGCAGCTTATTCTGCATGCTCGTGCATATTACGGTGTTCTATTAGTTTGGTTTGGGCCAATTGGTGGGTAATTGGGGCTTTGGCGACCATAGGCTTTGCTCATGTATAGCTTGGGTTGCAGCGACTTCTGCCCAACAACTGGTATCATTCAGATCTTCGAGGTCACTCGGGTTCTTTGGTCGTGATTTCCGAGCCCGGGGTGATGTTATTTAAGGTTCTCCGCAATTGGTAACAGGAAAAAGGAGCTTCTTCATACAAAGTCAATCTGTAAAATGGGCAAAAAGAAACCGATTGATATGCTCACGCACCGACTTGAACGATGGACCTCGGCATTACTAGTGCCGCGCTCTACCAACTGAGCTACGCGAGCTGATTGGTTATGATCTGTTTATTTAGGTATCAAGAGCTTTCAAACTTGGTCTAGTACAAGAAAATACACAAAATGTAAAAAAAAGGTAGATTTGCTCACGCACCGACTTGAACGATGGACCTCGGCATTACTAGTGCCGCGCTCTACCAACTGAGCTACGCGAGCTTATTGGTTGATGCCTTGAGCATCATCATGATATATAAATCAAAAACATACACACATTTGTGAATATAGGAATCACCGTGAATATAGGAATCACCTAACCACCACTCTGTCCTAGATCTAATAAACTTTTCGGTTTGTTGGTTCTTTGCAATTATCCACAGATCTTATATTGAGAATTAAAGCTGGTTCCATTACAGACAACCCTGATGAGGGATAACTTCTGAAGTACCCAGAATATATATATATTTGAAGATGTTGAGGAGGATATAACACAGAACTATCAAAATCTTGCGACGCCGGGGGAAACGTCTGGCCGAGCCATGAAACATATTTAAGACAATCAGTTATGATCAGTTAGTGAGTATAATCCACCTTAATTTTTTAAGAAAAAATGTAAAAAACAAAGAAAAAACATACAACAGTAAGGATTCGCTAGTGGTCACCCACCTAACTACTAACTTACCGGCGTGTGGCTTAAGTACGGCTGAGCGGACGGGAAGCCCTGTTCTCCACACCCTATGGTCGTATGTACTTATTCTTGCATTGAAGAGGGTTATATAGTAAGTAGACTTACAAAGGCCGTAGATCAGACCTCACTGCTCTGTATGGTGTGTGGCTTATGTGCGGCTAGTAGTCGGGTGGGTGTCACCCGGGTAAGCTTAGGGTGAATGCGCTATGGAGGGGTTCAGGAGCAGAGTAACCGTAAGAGATATAGCATGTTTAGGAAAAGGGTTCGAGAAGGAATTTCTGAGTTGAAATGGTGAAACTGATTCAATCCATCCTGTAAGGCTTAAGCAATGAATTGTTGTCTACATCGAAATTGAGATGCCTTAAAGATCGGCGCAAAAACTGAGGTGCCTTGAAAAATTAGTATGCTCATGCATTAGGGTTATGCTTGTATCTTTAATACTGTATCATGACCCCCAGAACCCTAGAGAATGCAGCCATCATATAACATGCTACAGGACAGTAAGTAATCCAGACGATCTATACCTTTGGTGGAGACCACGCCAAGCCTTTTATGATCTTCCGTTGACTTTCTTTCTCTTCTGTCTTTGGTTCTTCTTCCTTTTCTATCATTCTCGCTCTCACTTCGTATCTTATTACCTACCTTTTGGATCTTTCCGCTCAAATATCTCCCTAGACCGCACCACAATGACGGTAACACTGCCATTGGAATTATTACTCTAGATCGCAGCCCTATTGTAAAGTGAGGAAATCTCGTTGTTCTGTGTGTCGCTCCTAGTAGGCGGATTTTGAGCCTCTGATCTACTCTAACCTCGCTGTATATAGCGATGATAAGCACAATGAAGGGCAACCCGGGATTTCGGCAACCCGGGATTTCGGCAACCCGGGATTTCTTTAACGCTTTTTCAAAAACTTATATCCGGCGATCGTGTTATACAGCGAACCTAGATCCGTAAGCTGGAGTACATTATTTTAGTCCCCTACGAACTGACGGACTAGACCACACGTAAATCGTGGGAGAACATCGAAAATTACAACACAGACAATCCTATTAGGAAGGCTAATGATCTAGCGTTCTAGACTAGCGTGATAGACCTTTTCTAAATCCTTCACTCATAGGACTAAGGAGTCCGTCTTAGATTGCGTCTAGGGCTTCGAGGAAGCTCACTAGAGCATATACTAGAACTATAGACGGAATACTATTAAGATACTGGTGAATATCGTTAGGATTACAAACATAGAAGCCAGAAAGTCGGTCACTCTATATCAGGCGCGATTCTTACCGGTATGCTAGCGTATGTTCCGTATATTAAAAAGCTCGCTTTTCTAGACTGGGGCCGGCCTCATAATATCTAGACCGGGACACTGCAAACTATAGTGCAACACTGTCCAAATGTCACCGAATTGGAGCTAAATCTCAACGAATGGATCCGTCCGGACCACTTAGAGTATTTACAAAAACGCTGTGCAGGTAAGCCATACCCTCTTAACCATAGAGCCGAGCATTTTTTACTAACGGTTGTATAGCATTTGCTTCTCTTATCAGCTCTCTTCCAAGTAGCCTTTGGGTGCTAGATTTTGAGGGCGAGAGGGACGGCCCGTGGAAACCGTGCATGTCTGCACTGAATCTCATCCCTTCCGGGATCGACAGCTTGTCAGACAACTTACGAGAATTTAGCACTCACCTTCGGGAATTGAAGTTCAAATGCACCCTCTCCCATTTGGCTTCTTATACCCTTATGCCCTTTAGATAGAGAAGGCAAGCCTACTATTGGGGGATCCTTTCAATGGCCTCATCTCAAGATAGTGGAGGTTACGAATATGCCAGGCTGGCTCCCTTCAGGTAAAGAATCTCTTTTCTAGATTAAGACTTCAGTAATCCCAATGGAAATTAGCAGAAAGGCAATCAAATAGAGGAATTCCATTACGAGTTCTCGGCGGAACGCCAGGCCGAAATCGTTGATATTACCGAACAGAATGACTGGCTTGCTGAGATATGCGATACGGAGCGAGAATGGTGGGGATGTGAGGTGAGAATTAGAAGACACTTCCAGCGGCTTCTTATCTCCCTGGGCTATGCGGCGCAACGTATGCCCTGTTTGAAAAGCCTGAAATTTGGTGTCGAGGAGGACGACTAGTTTAATCTTGAATTCCAGAACGCTGACGAGATTACCTTGGAATGACAATATGATTACGAATTTCGGCCAGATAGTCGGGTTGCGAAGGCTTGGGGATTTGACCTGGATGATGTGATTATCGATGATCAAAGCCCGGTAATTTGTACTCTGAAACTCCCAAACTGGCCGTCTAACGAACCTAAATCAAGGTTCCTTGAGTAGTATTGCCAGATTGACATTATTTCCATTTCCAAAATTGGAAGCAATTGTCTGAGATCGTTATCATATATAGTATATTAATTCTACTTTCCGAGGCGTGTACTTCGGATAGTGACCGTATAAACGCAAAGCCATGTTCTAAGCGAAAGCTAAGGTTGGTACCTCGAAGGAAGGTTTGAGCTGCGCTAGATTAGACCGACAAGGTTTATTCCATGGAATACAACCGAGTCACTATCAGTAGCGTGGCTTTTGCTGTTTGATTTTCCTGGCGGGCTCTGGTATAGGCCGTAACGGCTTTCATCCATTTATACATAGTAGTTACTATCGAATCTTAGTTTCAACGAAGTTGGGCTACAAGAAAAATGCAAGAGAAAGTGTCATGCGAGGGTCGTTCCAGGTGCTGGAATGATCGCCTTTGCTTGGCCGGCCCATACACCCTACCCTACACACTAGCAGATCCAGAAGACCCGCCTTTTGTCTCGGACACATTAATAAGTTTCATTTTTCGTACAGACTAACTGGGAGGTATTTCACTATTTCCGAACATTTTGCGTGTCGAACCCGCCAGTGGGGGTCACGCTAAGTTATCCCGCTATTATTACGCTTTGCTAGCTGTTTCCCGGTTCCGCGGCTCCAATAAACTAGCACTGGCAGCCTCTAGGGAGAAAAATAGTGGACCAATAGAGATAACCTAAATCCAAAGAAACTTATGTGATTAATATAAGATCGTATGTCGTAAGCACAGTTTCTATAGGAAAATCCACATAAAAGCTAGGATTAAGGTCTTGGCTAGATATACGGAGGGGCGTCTATCACGTTAAGTAAATAAATAAAAAAACAAAAACATACAACAGTAAGGATTCGCTAGTGGTCACCCACCTAACTACTAACTTACCGGCGTGTGGCTTAAGTACGGCTGAGCGGACGGGAAGCCCTGTTCTCCACACCCTGTGGTCGTATGTACTTGTTTCTAATCGACGAGGTATATATAGGTCTTCAAGTCTATATGTACGTTGGACATAATGACAGTACTTGGTGGCGCGTGGCTTACGCGCTGCACGATTAGAGATAGCGGGATTCCAGCAAAATAGTGGAGCATTTCCACATATATATTGGGAACGTTGGCTCCCATTACCACGACTTTGCCTTTGGGAATGGCGTCATGTCCCCAATTGCGTGTATCTCGGCCTTCCAGTCCAGTGCTGCTGCCTGGAGGGGCTTTAGTGATCGGATCCCCTGACTCCTTCTTCCCAAACAGGTTATGAATAAAGTCTGCCTGGAACTCAATAAAGACGGGTCCGTTGGCGAATAGAGTTGAGGCCTGCACGCAGTAGACGTGAACATAGTTCGGAAACCGGGTACCGTCATATCCAGGTGGGTTAGACGCCGTAGTCCGTGCGCTCATTTGCCGCGGTTCAATTCGAATACCGTCACTGCCTAGGAATCTCATGGCTTGAAGTCAAACAGAAAAAATACCCAGCTACATAGTTATACTCACGGCCAAGCTGGCTTTTCAGGGCCTCTGGGGTGCCGGGCTCCCCGCAGGCGGCCTTGCTGTGCCCGTTTCATTTGGAAAATATTAACTCTAAAAGGCAGCAGACGGAAACTCAGTGTACTACGAGAACATGTCGCTCCTAGTAGCACACTAGTCATGGGCAAAAGCGTGTCACAAGCTTACTTCCACAGCTCTTCTATCCCAAAGCATGGTGGTGTGTGGGGTCCGTATTTTCATCTTATCTGTCGTTAAGATGTCTTGCATTCGCAGGTGTCCAATGTGCTAAAATATATATCATTGTTATCTTACTGCGCATCTTTTCTTAAAATGAACTCCACAAGGCCTTGTTAGATTGTGGGCTCAACAAACGCTTACAAATAGAGCAGATGACACAGGGAAGGCTCTTTATGAACGAGATCCTAGTTGCCCCTATTAACAATGCGCACGACTTGATCATTATATGCTGCGGCCAGTCGTAGCCAATAAATTTGGCCACATTCTGCGCAAATATTTGCATCTAAGCCAGGTTGTATTCCTTGATCAACTTTTCAGCGCAAGTTGCACCAGTGACATAGGCCACTGCCTGGACATGGGCATTGACCAACACCGGCACAACACCCATATCAGCAATCCGCAGATTCTCAATGCCCATTACCTTGAAATCAGGATCGACGACTGCGTCAACGTCGCCCTTTTTGCCCATTTTGACTGTTCCTGTCATATGCCAACTTGACAAGATATTCTGGCGCCAATATTCGAGCAGGTCCTCATCCGATTCGCTTTTGGGCATAGCTAGCTCGGCCACATTGTCCTTTGTATAAGATTCATGTTTGGCAACGCGGAAAGAGTCTCGCAGAGCCTCAATTGCAAGCCGACGATCGAAGGGGTGGGCAAGGAACTTGGGATTGAAAAGAAGCGGAGCATCGGGGTCCGACGATTGCAGAGTGACTTCTCCACGGGTCTGTGCATTGAACAAGAAAACCAACAAGCAAGAGTAATTCAAGGCCTCGGCTGGGAAGTCCGGGATGAACCAGTGAATAGGGAAATGGGTGATAATCTCGTAGTGTGGCACGGTCTCCTGAAGGAGATATCGCTGTTCGTCTTCCGGGAGAGCCTTAAATTCTGACGTGGAAGTGAGCTGTTCGGTAAGCTTGAACCAGCCAATACCCAATTCACAAGCAAACTTTGCCCAGGGGCCGGTTCCATGTTCTTCCCATTCCTTTTTAGCGGCATCCATGGCGGCCTGGGAACCATAGAAAGCCTTTCGGTCCGTACTGTTATCGGTGCGAGTGTTCACCATCGGGACGAAGCAATGGTCGCGAAGTCCTTGGCCGACGGCGGGGGCATCGTGAACGACGTCGATGTTGTATTGTTTCAGTTGGGCGGCGGGGCCGATTCCCGAATGCATCAAGATGCGAGGGTCATTGAGTGAACCGGCGGATAGAATGACCTCCTTTGTAGCATAGTCTATGGACGCAGTCATATTAGCCTATCTAGATAGGATCATAGGTGTGAGGGTGGGGCCAAATGGGTTGGACTCACATTTCTTTTCGTTCGCTTCCACGCCGACAGCCTTGTTTCCTTCCAGGAGAACACGCTGCACCGGCGAATCCGTAGCGATCGTCAGATTATTCTTCTCTCCGCCAATAATCAGATCCCCTGCCGTTGAGCGCAGCCCTTGATAAGCAGAGTTAATCAACACCGACATTCCGATGGGGTTACCCGAGTTATGGTCGGGGTTCAAGGGAAATCCAGCCTGCTCGAAAACATCCAACAGCTCGGGCAAGTCTCTTTCCCACTCGCGTGCAAAGCCTACGTGCAGAGGGCCTTTGCTACCATGATCCTCTGGCTTTGGATTGGCGTATTTCTTGTCCATACCCTCCGGGGTCTCTCCGTGAAAGGTTTCCAGATCCTTCAACCTCCTCCGGATATTCTGCCACCCATAATCATCATCACCGACGATGCGCGCCCACTCCTGATAATCGTCACGCGCGCCAACACTGTACACACCAAAGTTGATGGCGCTCGATCCGCCCATGCACCGGCCGCGACTGTAGTCAATCTCGCGGTTATTGCAATCCTTTTGCGGGGAGGTCTTGTAGCCCCAGTTCATGGACTGGTTTTGGAACGTAATCCATCGCTCTCCGTCCACGCGAAGATTACGATCCTCCTTGTTCTCACCTGCTTCCAGAAGCAGGACTCGTGGCTTTGCGGCCGAGTTGGCAAGTTTGGCGGCGAGTGCACTGCCAGCCGGGCCACCTACCAAATATCAGCTAGGGGACACCAGAGTTAGAATATTTGGGAGGGAGTTCGATGTTTGGTCCCCGAGAGCTCTGATCTAACTTTAGGGATACCATGGTAGACCATTTGGGACCATCGGGAATAAACCGAAACCTTATCCAAAGGCTATTACTCACTTCCGACAATAATAAACTCAAAGGAAGACATGTTCAGCGGAGCGATGCGAGTCAAGGGTAAGGAAAAGAAAAACAATGAGAGGGGGATTCGCAGCAAACTCCAGGGACAAAAGCATATATAACTTGAAACTTTCTCGAACCGACGGGCTAACGGAAAGAAGCCGACTTTGTTTGGCCGTTAGGAATTCTAGTCGTCGATTTTAACCCCTGAAATGGGGCTTCTGGGATCAGAATTGCCGGTCAGTTCTCTCGGTGGAGTAAGGTTGGCAGTTCCGCTAAAACATCCCCACCTCTGGATAACGCTATAGTGGTGCTTGGCGGGCCGACACGAGCTCCACCTCTCCTATTAGAGTGGACTTGGCGGAGTAACGTGCTTGAGAAGTCGACGATCTTGCTTGTTATGGACTGGCTAGGTTCCGGATGACACGAGATCGGCGAAAAGATTTTCGTGCGCGCCTTGTCAATAAAATTAAAGTGGAATTAGGGAGCGAACGATCTTCAAAGAGACGGGATGGAAGGATTCCGCCATGAAGACCCCATTGGGGTCATTTGGAGCCTTGGTTCCTTTCATTGCTCTTTTTTATTTTATCCCGACCTGATCTTTCACATTCTCCGTCATCTGGATTCCTAGCCATCGCACACTCTTGGAAATGGCGGGTAATGTCGAGGCATGGGTATTGCTATCTTTAGCACTGTTCACAATCCTCGTGCGGATCTTTGTACGATGGAAGCTTGTCGGACCTGCCAATTTTCAGCTCGATGACTATCTCATGCCTTTGGCCGGGGTATGCTCTTACGTCTTTCTATGTGTTGTGTATGCGCTAAGATTATCTCGCACAGATTGTATTTGTATTGGAGACAGTAGCAGCGTATCTCGTTGTTGCCAATTATCAGGGCTTGACCAACAGCTATATGACAGATGAGGAGCGGAAAAGTGTCGACCTAAGCTCTAAGGAGGCGTCTAATCGAGTTGCGGGTTCAAAAATCCAAGTCATTGGATGGTCACTATACGTCGCAATTCTTTGGCTTGTCAAGGTCAGCCTGGCTGTTTTTTATTCTCGATTAACGTGCGCTCCACATACCCCCTCATTTATTCCAAAAAAATTGAAATGCTGATGAGCTTGCAGAACTGGCCTCCAAAGCCTTCCGACCCGTGTCCGAATCGCCTATGGTATCCTAGCCGTGACGTGGATTGCAACTCAGTTGTCTCTTCTTTTATCATGCCAGCCTTTCCACGCTTTCTGGCAGATTAGCCCAAATCCCGGCAGTGAGTAACCCCGGTCTTTAACAGGCTTGAGTCTCATGTCTAACTTAATACGCCAGAGTTTTGCCAACCAACAAACTCCCCAGTATACGTTCTCGTCGTGGTGATACTCAACATCATCACTGACATCTACCTGCTTTCAATTCCACTACCTCTGCTATGGAAAGTCAATATCAGCTTGAAACGCAAAGTTCCTCTGATGGCCCTCTTTTCCGGTGCTGCATTCGTCATCACAGCGTCAATTATTCGAGCCGTTACCATTATGAGTGTAAGTCCCGTAATAATGGTAACCTTTACTCTACGAGTACATTTTTCTGACAAACCACATGCAGTCGGGCCCCGATGGCGCCGAAGCCGGCTCTAAATGGGCTTGTCGCGAGACATTCGTTTCAATCGTGGTCTCGAATCTGCCCATCATCCAACCACTTCTTCGCAAAGGCTTCAAAAAAATTGGTCTTTCTCAACTCTTTAGCTCCTCTGGCAAACCATCTGGACAGTCTTACCCACTCTCAGGCTTGAAGACTATGACAAATCGCGGTGATCGAGACACAAAGAAGAGTAAAATCAATGCCGCAGCGCCGTCGCATATGCAGATTTCTGCGTGGGGAAGTGATGAGCACATTCTCACTGAGCCTGAGCCTTCTTCAAAGGATATCACTGTAGTCTCAGAGACTGTTGTGCAGAGTGAGCCATGGAGCTGGGACGAAGCCAATGGGAAACAGTCGACATCATCACCGAAAGAATGGGGGAGTCGACTGGCAGACCGGTGAAGCCATAGAAGTTGAATATGGTGATTTATTGTGCGGTATATCACGTATCTGAAGGTCTGAGATCTATCTTCAAAGCCTTTATTAATAGCCTAGTAATGCCTCCATTTTTAATACGTCTTCAGGAACAAAGTGACTGAAATATATTATAATTAACGTGTCCAATTTCATGATATCGATCTTTTCTAGTAGAATGTAGGCGGGTGCTTTCATCACATTGCGGTTTAGGTCAAAATAGGTAAGTATGTCTTATGTATTTAAAGTTATGATCTCTATATTAACCCGGCTCTATTAGGAGTACAGCTGCATCGGATCATGATAGCGCATTACTCCTGTGCTAAAAGCCACCGCAGAGCAAAGCCACGGCATAATGATCTATATTAAATGGCTTTAGATGGGAACTTGTAGCATGGAGTCCAGGAGGCACCTGTCTGCATTGAAACTCGTGAGCCCAAGCCCAAGCCGAAAAAGAAGCATCGACCGGAAAACCACTGCTAGACGCAACCAAAGTAGGGGCTAATTCGACTCTTGATGTGTGTGTACAACCTCGACCTACGTCATGATACCAGGCTGGTCAAGTCAAAACCATCGTTAGCGAGACGATCATCTCGCCAAACAATCTCGTCGTCATTGACGACAATGGAGACAAAGGAGGGTTTCTGTTCAGCAATGGCCGCAGCACCAAGTTCAACCCTTCTTGCGACAGGGAGATAAGTAGAAGCATCTCCTATTGTCGCACTGATACAAGCAAGTGTTATTTTGCCGCCACCGAAAACCCCTCCTTCCCAAATTGCATCACAAGTGACGTGTCATCAGACCTTACTCATGTCGCGTACCCTGCCTGGCGCACCGCTACCGTCCACCGGCTGGTAAGACAACGCTCGTTTAGGTTGACGAGGTGCCATTATCTGCGGGAGTTGACAATCTGTCCGTTGACACTGACGGGAACATTTTTGCTGCTACTGTACCTGATCACCACATGTTCATCCGAGCGTTCCATGTCCTTTATGACAAAGATTCACCCTTGACAGTGATGATGATCTGAAAGAAGAGTGGCATAGAGGCGTCATCTACAAAACAGGAGTACGAGATGTTCAAGGTTGTGAGGATAGGGAGGCACGAAGCCTGCCAACTACGACGAGCGCAGTACATGAACCTGTCTCAGGCCGACTGTTCCTTGGGGCTTCGTCCCCACCCTTTATGGTGGCCTGCGGAAACTGACATAGATTGGTGCATGTGCCATGTACCCATGTTCTGCCTCCGGGTGCAGCTTACGAATAATGAAGCACTGTCTTTTCATGTGAAGACATATTACAAAAAATATGTAGCCCCGAGGAATGGAGCCTCGGTGCTATGTTGCGCAGAGATTGTAGCAGTTCTCAAATAGCGGTGCTGAGAAACATGGATGTTAGAGGGGCACTGAGGTAGGGTGCACAACAGGTACGGTATCATACGAAATGCAGTCGTTCTTGTTGGAACCCCTGTACTGTTGGTACTGTCGTGTCACCCTGATATTCACTACTTATGCCTTAGAATTAGACCTGTATCTAGTGAGTCATGACTCACAGAACTCCCTAACAGTACAACTATCATGCTCATATTACAAGAGTTCCGGAAAGGGGTCCATTCACAAGGATTGTTTACGCCTTAGCTAAATACGGTGCCTAACAAAAAGTAAGCTAAATAGGACGTTCCTTAAGCTAAACTACAAAAAAAAGTATATATAATAGATTAAATATCTTACCTAGTACGGTGTCTACTCTGCCGATTCCACGTTCTACACCGCGTCCCCGATTATAAGAGTATTACAGAGCTTAGGAATATTAGTAGAATCGGACATAATATATTGACTAGTATAGCTACTAATTTACTAATCGTGTATGGAAATTCTCAATAGTTGATAATGACCAAAAAGACGCGTTCGACCTGAAACATATATAGGGTACAATAAGAATTGCTTAGTCATATTACACTAGCTTGTAAGACATAAATATATTGCTTAACATTTGAAGGTTAACATTACAATCTTTGAAGCCTAACAATACTACTAAACCATTTGGCATTCTCGGATCAATTTTGTACTATGGCCCGGACAAATAGGGGTAGATAGGTCACAGTTGCTCTCGGCTGACTAATACCTACGAATCCCAATGACCCAATTTCTCCCCCGTCACCCTCGCCTGCTTTAAAGATATATGAGAAAAATTCCGTTGATCAAATACCATTCACGAAATACAGCGTGAATTTTGTGGTCAATTTCCAAACAATGTTCACTGGTCAGAATTAATTATCATAAGGCGCGGCGGCTGTCGTCATCTGAGTGGCAAACGTCATGTGGGTGTCATGTTTGGAGGCGCCAGGAACAGGACAAGGTGGCAATAGCATCAACAAATCAACAGTCGATGAAATCTATATTATATTGCTAAAATTCTGTGGTGGCAATAAATATTGGTTAACCAGATATTTTTTTACCCAGCGGCATCTCTTGGATATAGACTCTATTCGCATAACGACGCAATAGAACCTATCTTTGGTGAGTTATTAACCCCCCAAAAAGAAAGACTGCCCTATGGAAAAATCGACTAATTAAAATGGCCAGCATGAAGTCATTGACACAAGTTGACTGTCAGCATTCTCGGCATGTGTTCGCCCAGACACATCGACTTGTCTAGACAATACCATCGACTCCATATTGAACCCACAAGCTACGCTAGGCGAATGGAGAACGCTTGTTCGTTGTGTAGCGTATAACTTTATTTTCCTGGTAAATATTCTCGAACAAAGAAACTCCGACAATCTGACTAGGCTTTTGTTGAGCTTGGCGCAAAGGGTCCAACGTAACCTCAATGTAGCTCTTACGAACGGTAATGATTTATGGTACGTTCTATGTCTGCTTGCCTCAAACCATTCAAATCCATTCGCGCCGAGTAGGTGTTCCTCGAGCCTAGGCTTGACCCCTCAGTGGGACACTGCGGAGTCAGGGAAGAGAATTCCAGAAGGCCCACTGAGGAAAGTCAAAAACACAGCCGTTAGACGTTGACAGTGGAGTTTATAAAAGAATTGCTTTTAGGCGAGGAAGGACTCGCATGTGAAGCAGAAATTTCCATCACCACACCCTGGGAGAAAAGGGACACACATGTACCCAACGTGTGAGATGAATTTCAGCCTAAATTATGGCACATAATAAACAAGAGACTGTGGTTGCGACGCCTTTGAAATGTCTCCAACATTGTGCGACTTTTTCCAGCCGCTGCGTCACGGACCCATTCATGTGTAAATGAAATTGGAGTAAATCCATGGTTGGTTGGTACCAGAGTTGAACACCTCAAACTATGATTGGTTTATTTGCACTATTGCCCTGCCAAGACCACAAACTCTATTATGATTGGTTATTATTATTAATAGGTCAGCCAATCGCCTTGCTTTTCTCCTGGACCACAAAACAATCATCCGTGGCTCTCGGGCTGCGAGTCACAAAATTCAATCCATCTAAGGGTCAGGGGAAGAAATCCTATTTCAATAAGAACTATTAGGTGCAAAGTTGAAGAAATATTTCGCGTAAAAAAAAAAAGGGTCTGATGTTCCCATACTTCCGGGCGTGTAGGTCAAGACACATGCATCGGCCACACTCAATCCTTCCAGACCTTAGTTTCGCGCAGTTCCGGCTAGAATCCACGAGTCCTGGGCCAAGACAACCTGGTAACCAAGGCCCACATTAGGCCATCTTCTGTCCATTTAGCCCGGCGATCCAGTTCGCTAAATTTGACTATCGCTTCCAGACTGGACAATCCTCTCAAGCCCATCCAGTGCTCCCATTTCGGGTAGCATTGGCGTCCAATCTTCAATTGATTATTCCCTCTAGTTACTAGATTCAGGCTCGATTTGCGTCCAATGGAGAACAAGCGTCTCCGCGTGCTGGAATCGTGGATGCTCCGGCCATCCTCCGGTAAGCCATGCGGCCCCTGACCCATCCACTGCCATGCCTGGACACTACCATATACACAGGCCCACTGTCCGACAGACAAGGGACCCGCCAATGACGAATGTCCGGAACACTCTTTCATTCTAGATTGACTGTGGTTTGACACGACGCCCAATCATACTTATCCACCAATCTAATGTCCAACGCTTGACCCATGGCCCGGAGTGTCCCCGTTTCCACCTCCAATGGTTTCTTTTACATCGAAGCCCTAACCCACCGCACCCCGGAGAGAGATGGTCTCGGCCTTTCTCAATTCCATGGGCATACGACGCCTTTCCTCCTCTGAACTGCCTGACGTACGTGTGCCCCAAGTGTCCACTACGAAGAGAGGGTCAGGTACCAGGCGCCTTTGGTTTCATCCGTTTGGTTCTGAAGTGACCTCGATTTGGAGGCGAGCGTGGCGGGGCTGCAGATTTTGTCTAAACTCTCCAAAGGTATTTATACCTGGCCATGTCTTGCACATTTGCTGTCTCTTTCCTCTCTCCAAACAACTACATTCTTTTTGAGGAACCCACAACTTCTGTCATTCTTTTCCTAAGACACATACACTCATTCGAATATCTTCATTGATATCTCTTCTTCCTTCGTGTCTAACTATCCAACAACTCGAAGTTCCATCTTCCCACAACACAATGCAGCTCTCCAAGTCTTTCATGCTCCTTGCAGCCCTCACCACGGGCACCCTCGCCCGCCCAACCACTCTCGAGCGCCGTCAGGCAACTGGAACATCCTCCGGCGGCGAATGGACTTCCACCCCCTCCAGCGGCAGCTACTCGACCTCTGGCTTCGGTAGCTCAACCGCCTCCTCCGGCAGCGGCGTGACCTACGCCGGAAACGTTGGCAACCCCTACGGCAGCAACATCATCCAAGTTTCATCCTCGGACGCCAGCCAATACAAGTACGTGGCGCAATTCCAGGGCTCCAACACTGAAGACTGGACTGTCGCCATCTTCAACAAGTACGGCCCGGATGGCATGATGACCGGCTGGTACGGCAACGCCTGCCAGACCTTCACTCTCGC